GTTCCTCCTCCTCCTCCTGTTCCTCCTCCTCCTCCTCCTCCTGATAATAATAATAATAATAATAGTCATCATCATCATAATCATCATCATCACGTCATTGTCATTGCGCCATCACCATCACAGGGTTATCAAACCCGGGTGTGTCGCGACTCTTGACTGTCATTCATTGTTTGTTGTTCATGTCCAACTGCTCCCCACTCCTCAATGCAGATGACTCAGCAACTGCATTTACGCAGCAGTGCCAGCCCTTTGCGATGAAGGTGGTTCGAGTCCACCCTGGCTCGATTACTTTTTAGGTCATCCAGAGAACAAGCGCCACATTCAACGGCTTGACTCCTGCTAGCCATGGCTTATGGCTTTGGGAGAAATCCGTAGCCTCAGCATCCAGAAAACCCACAACCTCCTATGGTTTGGGTCGGTTTCACAAGGGGCGAATCGCATGGTTTCAACATGTTTAAGCCAATCTTCTTCAACCAACCTGGTTTGGCTTTTGTTGGGCCATGGCCGACCCAAGGATCGCCAGTTGTGGTTAAAGCATATTCATTCCAACTCTAGATGTTTGCCCCAACTCATGGAAGTGCACTTACCGCCGGGCCCCACTTGCCGCCGGCCCCCACTTGACTCGCCTGACCTTCCAGGCGAGGATGAGTCCTTCCCCCTGCCGCGCCGCGCCCGGCCCCAGTCGGCCGCGCGGGCGCGGCCAAACGCAGCGGAAGCCTTCAGGACGCCATTGGGCGGGCAAACCCCATGAGTCAGCTTTGCTGTCTGCATGTTTTTTTGTTTTGTTTTGTGGGTTCTGTTCATTTTTGGTGGATGGCTGAAAAGCACAGCGTGTCTTGCTAGCATACCAGTCAGGCTTCCCCATATTGGTACTAGCAATATGCTGTTTCTAGGTTTGAATTGCAACTGTTGGTGGTTTGGATTGGTGGTAGTCGAACTGGTAAAGTTCCAAGCTTGGTTTGGTTGGGGTACCAACCAAAAAGGCGTTCCCTAACAAATAACACACCCACATCTGGTCAATCAACCGAGGGTTGCTTTTCCCACACGTTTCAATCACAGAGTTTTCATCACAGTTTTCAGAGGCAAAGCTCGCCTTCACGGCGCCAGGACCCCAACTCTTCCGGGATGGTCTCAGCTGATGTGTCACTGAACGGCAATGTCCGTTGTGAGACTTCCAGACCTCCACTGCTCTTCTTGTTTTGGCGGGTGTCCCTTCAATCAAAATCAAGCAGAATGCTTTTTCACCTGGCCTTTGGAGGGTTGGGGACTGCTTGCAAAGCGATGTTCTCGTTTTGCCAGTGGCTTTGTGTGCTACCTTTTGGACAGTTCTGATGATCAATCTGTGTTCTGGTGCGGCAGTGTCTTTGTGGTACGTTTCACTCAGATGTCCACGCCAAGGGTGCCAGCCTGTACATAGCTCTGGTTGTGGGAACCAACATTGGTGGACCGCCTGAATCTGACTCACACCCGCTGTAGGCCCAAATGGTTGAATGCCTCCATTCGCAAGGCCGTGGTCATAGACCTTCGTTGTGTCCTGCAGCTTCAGTACTGACCCAGTGCGCCGAAATCGCGGCCGCGGCAAACCTTGCCGGCCGCGTGAACGCGTGCTCTCAGCGGTCAAAAATGAAGCCCTGGTGCCACCCCATTTCAAACGAAGAGTCTCGCTTGACAGCATGGGGCATCTCCTGTCTGGGCTCAGTGGTGTGGGCAGGGAGCATCAACATGGAAGCTTAGCATTTGGCGGCAGCACACATGAGCACATGACAGGAAAATCTGATCCACAGGGCGCAGCCCCAAACAATGGCTTTGGCATGTCTTGGCAACTTCATCCTGAACTTTGCCGGGAGCTCAGTATGTGGGGTGTTTGCCCTCAAAACTCCCAGACCAAAGGGGCCCAACGGATCCCCGGCCCACCGATATAGACCCACTGAAAGCATGGACCGACCAACCACTTAGGCCTGATTGGGCTCCTAATTTGCGATTCGGGAGGTCTTTGTGGGAGGTCTTTGTGGGAAGTCTTTGTGGTATTCAGGCTTTTGTTGGGGGTGTTGTTGCTTGCCTGGTGGATCCATGTCCCACTGCCCGGCATCCATCTGCCTTTCCCGAGCTCGAGCATGTCGGGCTCAGGCGTGCGTGGTGTTTCTCTTGGTGCGGCTGAAGCTGGTGCTGCCCCTGCTGAACTCCTGCCTCTCACCCTGGCGGCGCTGGCGTGGGTATAAGGGCGATGCCCACCTCGAGGCGAACGGCTTGGAGCGCCTCGGGCGAGAAGCACCCGAGCCAAGCGGCAGGGAGCCGCCCCGCGGGCTTGCGTGACCATACCTAACAAACCTGCGCTTGGAGTTTCTTTTTCAGGGACTTCAAACGGACGTCTAGGGGTCACCCAAACTGCCTTCCCCCAATTCCAAGTTCAAAGATTCAGACCACGAAGGGTGAAGGGCTGTCAAGGCTGACAGACCTCATTTGAGCCAGGAGCAAAACCTGGGCTGCTAAATAGGGCCGCCTTTTTGCCCTTTTCCTTCGCATACGTTTAACCGTTTTTCTGTTGAGAGATTCCGAACACAACTCGTCGTTTTTGGAAGGCTTCTGCGTCGCCGACGTTTGCGCAAGGATTGCTCTGAACATGTGCTTCGTGATGGAGGAAAACTTGACGCAGCGGATCCGCGGTGGCATGGCCATGTTCTTGGCCATGAACGTGCCATGATGCGGTTAGAAGGGGATGACGAGGGGGAATGTAGCATCCACTTTCACCCAACTGTATGCTTCTCATTGGCAGCTCAAGCTGAAGTCACAAGCGGTTGGTGATTTTGGGAAGGGCAGTGGGGGGGGGTTCACAAGAGGCGACTATTGTCAGTTAGAGCAGGTGTCATTAAACAACAGGGAAGCAGGCCGGACATCCGCTCAGTTGCCTCACCCAAAAAGCAAAACCACGTGAGGTCTGATAGAACACCCCCAAGGGTGCATTCTCGGGCCTTGGTTTCGACCCAAAGGGGGGGAAAAAAACAAAACAAAAAAACGGTTTGCATTTCCCATGCTAGCAGCAGACCTCACGTGGGTGCCTCCTTGGCTTGCGGGTAGAGACCAAAGCACAGTTGGGTCAAAGTGGATGGCACAAGGCCCCCCTCCCCCCCTGCTGGTTTCATCATCCCGCTCACCGACAGAGAGGGAATGGGACACCCTGGCTTTTACAAGTAGCATGAGCTCAGTTTAAGGTCTTGATCACAGGAGAAGATGGGGGTTTCTCAAAACTGTGGGCCCTTGTTGGAGGGTTTGCAAGCAGAACCGAAGGGAAGCAAGCCACTGTAAGGACCCTCCAAAAGCCTACAGACGTGGACCGGTTCGCCTAGTTTCCCTTTCGCCTGACGAGGGGTACCCTCAAAAAGCCGACGAACGCATTTGTGGAGCCCGCCGAGGCGCTGCTGCTGACCACGTACCTGCCCTGGGCTCCCTGGATGTGCTTGGGCGCCTTCGGCTGGGACGCCGCCTGGCTCCGAAGCTGCCCTTGTGCTCAGATCCTTTTCAGCCCGGAAACCAAAAAGATGGCGGGAAAAATCTGATTTCTCGCCTTGTCATCGTCTTCATCCCTTTTTTTCTCACATTGGGAACACACGTTTCCCGGAAAATGGCTGTTTGCTTGAAGCTGTTTGTGGAAATGACTGTTCCTTTTGTGACTTTTTTTAAAGGTTTGTTTTCCCCACTCAAGTTTGGGAAAATGACCGTTCCCCCTTCCCCCGCAGACTTTTTAGCAAAATGGTCCGTTTCCCACAAACACCCATCAACCAGTCTATGTCCAGAGTGCTACACCTGCAAAGAGCCCAGCTTTGTTGCACCATCAACCAATCCACTTCCAGCAACCTGATTCGCCGAACCTGCCATGCTTAAAAGAGGGGTTCCTGCAGCTGTTTCCCTTTTTTGATGAAGCATGGGAGTTTCTCAACATGGGCCACGTTTTAGTTGGTGCCAAGAAAGGGAATCCAAAATTCACTCCCTGAGTTCCTGCACTTTGAACTTTTTGGAAAGACCATGTTAGCGGGAAACAAAAAGTTTAGACTTTTCATGGCCAATCCACTTTTAGTGGCGCTGAGAAGAGGGCAGCCATTTTCGGGCTCCGATTCTGGCAGCGCAGGTGGCGTCTTTGCTGCTGTCCCCAAAGCAGCCGGAGGGCGACTTCCTGTGGCGCCAGGATCGGCACGGCATGGTCTATGGCATGCAGGGTGGCCACTGCGGCAAGCACATGCTCTTCACCGGCGCCCCGGCTTCGGACCAAGCCAAGTGGAGGGAAGCTGACTCAGGTCTTTGGTGGTTTGGATGGGTTCCCTGGGAGCCCAGAAAAGGCTATGGGCATGTCTTTTTTAGGGGACCGTGGTTTTCCTGTTGGTTTCCCTTGAAAACCCCGAACTGTTTGGAGCCTTTTTGGGTATCCCCTAAAAGGCGGCACTGGCGTGGGGCTGAAGGGCCATACTTTTTACACCCCCATGTTACTTGTTATGGTTCACCACATATTGAACCAGAATTAATCCAGACCATGTTTGTTTGGGTGGTTGGTTGGCACCTGCGATAGGTTTAGGTCCCTTCATCAGTCTTGTTAGTTTGTTTTTGCTTCTTGGTCCCCTAATTTTCGATTGTCCTAAAAGGAACGCGAAAAGAGATGGGTTAACCCAGATATGAGGTTTGTTGGGATATGACTAGGGTGCAAAGCTGAAGTAGAAAATGAGAAACTGGGATCTCTTTCGATTTATGTTGACATGTTGACAGATTTTAGTGTTCACCAACTATGGACAAGGTAGAGATGAGGTTTGGTATGGTTTGGTCAAAGTTGCTTTTTTGTTTTGTCTAGGGTTCGCAGGGGTTCGGACCCTTGGGGACGAGCTCTAAATTTTGGGCGACGTAACTCGAAGGTGCCCCCCATGTTTTCACCTTACCTATTAGAAAACGCTGTATTTTCTGAAGTAAACAGATGGGGATGTGTTTGTTTGAGGGATTGGTTTAATCCAAACCAGGTGAAAAAAACACCAGTTTGCGGTCTTTCTATTTAGACACGTACCCAGCAAGCCCATCAACCCAGGCGGCATCTCTTTGTCTTGCTACACCTGCGGCGTCCTGCAGTTTATCTTCGACCGTTTTGGCACTGAAGGCTTTGAGGTGGGGTTGTGGGACACGATGCGCTGAACCTCTATGCAGTCTCGGATTCGGGGTAGTTGGCAAGTGAGGCCGCGATTTGTTGCTTCCTCGCATTCCATTTGATAGGATCCCGAAATCCAAGACTGTGATGACATCAAAGGCCCCGTGGCCGAATTGAGCACCGCAGGTATGGTCCTGATTTTGGGATCGAGTGCAAACATGCTGCGTGCCCAAGGCAAGTGTCTGTAACAGGACGACAGTATGCCAGTGGACGCACTCGATGAGATGCCTGCGGTACCACAGCCGATGCAAACGACCAGTCCCACCCCATCAAGTCCTGGAGAGTGACAAAAAACAACCCTTTGTGTCCCGGCGCAAAGGCCCGCGCCTTTGGCGGGTGGCCTTTTGACGCCTAGGATCTTGACGGAAGGGATTGGTTGCTACACCGTGTGTCTTTTGTTGCGCCCTGATTGGTTGGTTTGTTTTACGGCAGACCCCCACCAGTTTGGGGGCGGCCCGTTGACCTTTTGAAGGACACCGACTTTTCCGGGGCCTCGAGCGGAAGTTGGGCAGCTTTAACTGGTCTTCTTGCGACCCATGGAGCTGGCAACATGCAGCAGGCGCAAATTCAGTCCATGTGTGTGAAATGTTCGAGGGTGTGCCTTTTGCCTTGGTTTCAAGGTAAGCCAATAGGAGCACCACTATGTTTGGGGTCCCCCCCCCCATTTTGACACATACCGATGTGGGTGAGTCCTAAACTTTCGGTCTAGCTGCGCTCCAAGCAACTTTTGGTGTTTGCCGCACAAATCGTTTGCATGTACACTTCGCAGAGCTGTGTTTTTCTTTTGTTCTGAGAAAACAACCTCTTTTTTGGTTGGCTTTAAGGGGAAATGGACACTTGTTCAGGAGGCGAGCCTGGTAATGTTTCATTTGACGGGCCGCTGTCGGCCATCACTTTGCACCTACCTTCAGGGTTTCAAGGTGTATTGTTGCCGATTTCCCCCTACCGAAGCACCCTTGCCATACCTGCGGAAGGAGTCGATAGTCTTTTCTTGGATTTGACAATTTCTGATTTTCCCGACCCAGAGTATCACGACTCCAGAAACCAATCTCCACACGCCCCTGTATTTGTCACCCGCTTTTTGGGGCAAATCTGCATTTGGAAATATCAGCACTGGAAACTGTTTCTTGCTTTTCTGTTCTTTTCGGGTGCAGATCCTTGTTTTTTTTCTTGCTTTCGCACCACGGCTCAATGCCACCGCAACTTGCGCAACCAAAGGTTAAGAGTTCCTTGAAGCCCGGCATTTTGGGCTAAAGCTGCAAGGTCTACAAGCAGAGCGTGGTGTCGGCGGTGGCCTTGGTGCACCTCTTCCCCTTTCCCTTCTCCATGCTTCTGCCCGGCTGCCAGGCCCATCTCAGCACTTGAAGCAGGAAGGTTTCCTCCATGTCCCTTTGGCAAGTTCAATGAAAACCACTCGTCAATCGCAACTTTCGAATGGGGAAATCCAGTGACCCCTGTGAAAGGGGAATCCATAGGCCGTTGAGACCTTCTCCACCGTCAGCATCGAGCTGGCTAGGCGGGGCGAGGGGTGGCTGGGGGGGGGCGGCCGGGCTTGGAATGGTTCAAGTGGATGGCAAGAGGTCCAGTGGGTTTCCGAGGTAGATTCAAAAAAGATGTTTAGTCTGCCTTGTAACCCAGTTTTGGATAGCTTGGATAGCTCTGATCTTGGAGCACGGGTTTCTGGATTCGATGATTGCATGAGGCCTTTCCATCAGCATGGTTGGGCAAAGTTTGCTAAAACAAGGCCTCTTTAAAGGACAACTAAAAGGAGGCGGTTTTCATCATGCTTGTTTAGTCTTGTTTAAACAAAGCGGTCCAACCCCACCGAGTTCCAGGGTTGTCCCACATGTGTCCGCAGGATCCAGGCGCCCAAGGCGTACCGTGCCATCACCGAGGAGCTGTCTGGGGGGGGGGCCTTGGTGCCTTGGTCTTTCCGGGTGTCAAACCTCTTGGCAACCGACACTTGAACTGGGCCCATTTTTGACTGTGGCTATGAAAGTCCGAAAGGGGGGGAATTCCTTCGGGCCTCGGCTTTGGCGAAAACACCTGACCGGCCAGACGAACTGCCGTTCAAGGTTTAAACCCTGAAAAGGGAACCTATATGGATGTGTCCTTTTTAAGGGCATCCCCCTCCCAAAAGAAACAAAAGAGATGGTTTTCCTTTTGGTTCCACTTAAACATCCCCCACAAAGGGGTTCCCTCGAAAAAAGACACCCCCCACATGGGCCGAACCATGTTTTAGCAGGGGGGTGGGGGGGCGCATTTCTGGCAGGAGGGGAAGCTGGTAATTTGGTTGTTCGCCTTCAGCCTACGCCGCAGCTTCAGCCGCTGCTACCGACTCGCTTTGCGACGGGGCCCGGACTTTGAAAGCGCCAGGCGCCTAGGAGCGGGCTGGCGGTTCTGCGGAAAACATTTGTCGAGGCTCCCATTTTCAGTTTGCAATCAAAATGGATTCGAGAAGAAAAACACATTTTGGGGATCCTCCTATTTTGACAGCCGTTAGGCAAGTGCCGACTGTCACCATTTGGGAAGGCCGATTCAAAGTGGGCTTCCTTCTGGTGATGCTTGAAGGGGCAATACATATATATATATATATACTTTAGAGCCTCCGGCTCAGTCCGCCGACATTGTCCTCTCCCTTTTCTCCTTCTTCCTCTCTCGCTTGTCTCTCTCGTGTGTTCTGTCGTCCTCTCTCCCTCCCTCTGCTCCCCATCCTCCCCATCCCCCCAAGCCTCTGTCTCCTCAATCTCCCTCTCTCTCTCCGTCTCTCTCTCTCTCTCTTTCTTGCTCTCTGTGTCTCGCTCTCTCTCTCTCTCTCTCTCCTGCTCTCTCCCTGTCTCTCTCTCTCTCTCTGCATTGCAGCGTCACGTCCCCCCTGAGTTGCCTCGATGTCCGGGCACTGCCCCTTCATGACCCTGAACTGTCATCTCACTACTGGCTTTCCCCTTGATTTCCCCTTCATGTCCTTGACACGTTTCCCATGATGTCCTGGTCATGTCCCTTCCATGCCTTTCAACTCCCCCTTCATGTCCCTGACATTTTCTCGGTATGTCCGCTTCATTTTCCATGTATGTCCCGTTCTTTCGTTGCGAGTCATTTCCCTACATCTCCCGTCATGCCGATTGGTTTCCTTGTGCTTTGTTTCCCTTTCATTCCCCCTGCACTCCCCTTGTTTTCATTTCTGTCCCTTTCATGTCCCTTTCAGTTCCCCTTTGTTTCCCTTTCATGTCCCGTTGCTTTCCTGTCATGTCGACTGCCTATTTCCTCCCCTCATTTCCTTGCACTTCCTTGGATTTCCCCTTTGCTCCCCAATATTTCCCGCAAAAAACACGGTTTTTCCAGCGTTTTCGAAAAACACTGTGTTTTGCAATGGCTTCAGCAAAAGGAAAGCACAAAACACTGTGTTTTTTTTTCTCGATGTTTTCAGCAAAAGGAAGCGCAAAACCTGAGCCGGCAGAGAGAGGCGGCAGGGGGATTCGAGCCTGGGACCCCTGTTTCTCCAGACCCGCTCCCCGAAAACCTTTTTTTTCAGACCGTCATCGTCTTGCCGTGCGGTACGTGGGGGAGGGGGGGGGACGAAACCCTGCATAATTGACGTGTCCCGGGGGGGGGACTAGGGAGGGGGGGTTATCCTCTATCCTCTCTTAGGTATCCGACACGCCGAACAATGTCGGCGGATTTACATGTATATATATATATATATATATGTTTTTTATAGCGAACGCTGACCCCGCAAGATGCTTGGTGGGCTTTGTTGGGCTCTGGCGGATCCACGAGCTCACCCAAGGTCATCGGGTTTCTTCATTTCTGTTTTGGGACTTGGCTGTGGGTCAAAACCCTGTGCCCCTGGTGAACATCAAAATAGGTGGCAAATGGATGTTCATCCACTACAAAATGGAGCCATAGGTTCTGCCCCAGTGCCACTTCTGATTTGCCCAGGTCCGCGAAATAACATCGTTTGGCCTCGAATCCAATCGAAGGAGCGCTGATGGCGGCCACCAGCGTCTTCCCCTACTTCACCTCCCCGCGGCTCTGCAGCCCCCTGCAGTGTTTGCCCGCGGTCATGGACGGCTGGTTCCCGGGCAAAGGCTCCGGCATGCTGCCCGTGCCGGACCGCAAGGGGCGGCTCGAAGTCGCTTCGCCGGTTGTTGTTTTGGCCGGAAATGCGGCGCACCAAGCAACCAGCGAAAAACCAAACAGCACCCAGTTCAAGCAGCTTCGCGCGAGGACATGACCGTGCCCTGCGTGGGCAACACCCTGCTCTTCGACGTGAGCGGAGGCATGCAGCAGGCACACGCAGGCGCAAGCGCTCCGCGGTGGCACGCGTCGCATGCGAGAACTCTCGGGGAAGTTGCCGGTGCAAGGAATGGCCATGTGGCTACATATGTTGCAAACTGATAGTGACTATTAGGTGCCCTTTCTATTGCTATCAACATTGGGCATATGTGGCAGGTGACTGGGGTCCCCTCCTTCCACATGTAAATTGTCAAAGCGTCCCCATGTATCAAATATGATGGGATGTTTCCCCGAATAGGTGGAAGATTGGAGGAACAGTTCTCACTCGGGATCAGCCCAACATGCCGAGCCGACCGCAGGTGACAAAAGGATCCACGTGCTGGACATCAGGCCTGGTCCCAGTGTCCGGATGAACTGTTTGCTCGGTCTTCACTTTGCACGGGATCCGTCCAGCAGGACACCCTAAATATCCCTTCTCAAAGGAAGATAGAGCAAAGCCAATGGGTATGCTTCTGAGATTGGCAACCATAAAAAGGAGATCAACAAGCCATCGGACGGCTCCTGCGCTATTTGTTTAATGAGTTTGCATTACATGTTTCAAACACGTTTGGGACGTGTTTCTGCTTTACAAAGACTGGTGAACCAAAAGAGCAAGCTTTGAACCTTCAGCCAAACAAACGAAAAGACAAGAAGACAACCACGCCGCTTGTGCTCGAGGGGGATGTTTGCCGGTTTTTGGTCTTGTCCCTCCCTCCCTCCCTCCCTCCCTCGCTCCCTCCCTCCCTCCCTCGCTCCCTCCCTCCCTCCCTCCCTCCCTCCCTCCCTCCCCGCCCTGTCTCCCGCCAGGTCCTGGGAAGACTTTTCGGTGCGGGACTTGACCGCGTGCAGCCCAGAGGCCGTGGAGGAGCGACTCGATCGATCGGAAGGCCAAGCGAAAGACCGATTGGCAGAAGTCTTGTAACCAGGTTGGTGCAGAAGGGGGTTGGACAGGAAACCAAAACGAAGCCATTCATTTGGGCTCTCTAAACGAGGAGGTGTCGCTCAAGATGGCTGGAGTCACATGAACAATTGGCTCATTTGGGCCTCCCACGAAAAGTGTCCAATTTCCCTTTAGTATAACCCTCATACTGCTGGAAAGCCACACAAACATAGTGAATGTTCCCCCGGAATTCATCAACATTTCGGATTTATATAGGGTATTTTTTCCAAAGTGCAGGATGCCCGTCAAATTGGGACACCCCCTCTTTGCCATCAACCAGGGGTTGCTCATCCAGTTTTCCCGTTTCAGCAAAATGCAGCAGCCATTTCAAGTTTTCACAATTTGGGGGTTGCCCAAGATTTGGTTTCCTGGTTTACACGAAACCACGGTAAATCAAGCAGCCACTTGTTTGGGATCCGCGGACCAGTTTAAGGCACACGTGACGTGTATCAATCTGAACCGCCAAACCATTTCTTTCAATAGCGACTAGTGAACCTCAGGCTTCCGCCTGTTGCACAGTGTTTTGATTGAAGTGTAAAGGCTCTGCGAAGAGGCTGCGCACACGCTTTGGCATCATGAACGTTGCCCCACAGGAGAAAGCTTGGCCAGACGACGCAAGGCCAAGCAAGTCAGATGTAGCATCTGAAGGGGCCAAGCAACTGGAAGTGTAAGTGAAACGCAAAACCCGGGCCCAAACCGCAACGGCAAAGCACCAGGATCTAGTTTCCTTTCGTTTCCTCCGGCAAAGTGTCTACCGATGTCTTCAGTGTCCTGTCGAACGGGAGGAGCTCTTCCTGCGGGGAGTGTTGGGCGGTGCCCGCCACGTCGAAGAGATCGACGCAGCCGTGAAGGCCGTGTTTGGCCTGGAGCCGCTGCCGCACAAACTCATCTGAGCCTGGGGTCGAAACCAATGGTACCACTTTGGGATAGGTGCACCACCCAATTTAGTCTATTTTAGTGGGGATTGAGATGTTCACTGGGGGTACGGGATTTTGACCCATGGCCATCTGAGCCTGATCTGGGGTCTCCGATCCCAAAGCAATTCGTTATGTTTGGGGGTCGAACTCCAGAATCAGGACACTTGTTTTGCAGACCCCAGATGTGGGCCAAGTGATGGGTACACAAGTCTGCTTAAGAAAGCTGATGGATGTAGTTCAAGAGAGTCTTTGAATGTTTGAAGGCCTGGAAAGTGAAAGAGGCCATGCATGCGGGATCTCCTTCCCTTGGGGAGAAAATCATTTTCCCCCCACGCTGTAGCTGCAGTATCCCCGATGGTTTTCCTTAAAGTCGGGGAACCAGCATATATTTCAAATGCTTGTACATCCAGTGCACCCGCATAGATTGGCATTGCCAGCCTTAGTGCTGAGCATGCCAATTGTCACCCAGACCGATGGCAAAACGATAAGGCGCTCTCGCCTTGCGGTTGGCTTTGCACCTACCCACCAACAAAGTGCCGCCGAGGCGGAGTTTTGTCCAACCAATCCCTCTGTGAGACGTGGGGCGATCCGTAGGCTTGCACGATGCCATTCTGGGAAGGTGTCTTGCGCCGTGCCTCGGGTGCCTAGACGCGAGCGAGCACGTTTGCGCACGTGTGACCACGCGTGCACAGCAGTTGTGCAGGTTAGCTTCTGGCTGCAAGCCAGAAACCACGCGCTTTTGGCTGACTTAGAAGGGCTTTCAAATTTAGCGGAGTGTAAGTCCGTTTTCTTATGTTCACTCCAAAGTTTGTCGCTCAAGTGGGTCAGTATGAAACCTTTCATTTTCGGAGCAAAGCCGCGGGGTAAAGTAGTTGCAGACAATGATCAGGACACTGACATGACTGGCGTGCGTGTTCGGGTGTGCCAGCTTGGATTTGTCTGCTTGGACCCTTGGCGGAGGTCATAGAGCCATGCCCGGTCAGCATCCAGCGGTTTGGTTTGGCTTTTGGCGAACTGTTGCCATTTCATTCGGAAGGAACATAATTTTGTTTAGCACGCATCTGTTAGCTAACGTGAAGGATCTGCGGTCCCATTCCCATTGTTGGAAGAGTGCTTGAGCTGAAACTATGTCCGTGCTTCCTGCTGAAATCCAGGGTTGCAAGTCTACAAGTCGGATTCTGGGTCACCATGTCCGGCAGACGATGTTGATGGAAAAAATGGGTGCGTTTTTTTTCAGGGTGCCCCAATTTGGTGGCTTTGAAGGGACACCAGAATTACTTCTTTTTCATTGGGGGTGAGGGGTTGCCTAAAAGCTTACCCAGATGCTCATTTTGCACTAGTTATTTTCCAGGGCGTTTCTGCCCGCAGTCCTATTCAGTGGCCTCGTTTGGGAACAATCACCTGACGGCCGGGCGCAAAGTCACGTAGCGATGTTTCCCTGACAGACACACCCAGTTGCAACGAGTTGTACGCATTGCTGGCCTCGCAGACGTTTGTGCTTCGCAAAACTCATGAGAATCTCTGAAACATGGCACCTAGCAGTCATCTTTAGTGTCAAGTCTTTGATGAAATTCAGGTGATGACAAGCTTCTTCAGTGACAGCTGGTGACAAGCTTATTCTGTCCGCAATGGAGAAGAAGTTCTCAGATGGCGTGCACAAGGTCTGCGGTTTAGGCGACCGCCCGTCCGATCAGGCTTGTGAAGAAGCCTGGGACGCTTCTTACAAGGGCATCACAGCCTGCAGGACTGAGAAGGGTCATGTGCTGTCATAGTCATATGGGTGCGTACTAGAATGGGGGGGGGGGCCTTTGGTGGATATCATTTGGGTGGTGCCCACCACCACTTTTGAGGTCAGCTAAAATATACAGCTTTGTAAATGGTCCGTTTGGGAGGAACATGGGGGTTCCAAGTTTCCACCACAAAACCCAGAGACTAAAATTTACTCGTGTCCAAAGAGGGTATAGGGATGCATGATTGGGAGGATGATTGGGGAGGGAGCGCATTGTGCACACAAACGCACCACCTGCAACACATCCCACAACACCTTCCCCGGCGTTCAACTCAAGCTCCAAATACGAACGAGCCTTCCGGAGTCTGTTAGCAAGTGGGTATGCGTCAAAACAGGTGACTAACCCTCCCGTGCTGAAGTGGAGATTCTGGGTGCACCCTGCGAGGGATCTCCGTGTCCGTGATTCGCTGATTCACAGGACACTGTTTTTTTCTCGGCTGCGTGACTTGATGCCTTGACATGTTGGCATGCACAGGCGTGGGTCGAAATGTATTCGGGATTGTTCCCAGGTCATCGATTTCGACACCCCACACACTACACCTAGAACAGCCGCCAGGCGCATGCCCCGCTTGCGCCCTCCGAGCCTCTGAAAGAACAAAGTCCTCTGTGCCGAACGGGTCGAATGGGAGCAATAGGACATGCATGGCTTCTACGGATCCCAAGTTCAACGAAGAGGAGAGGCTGTTGGTTCTGAAGTTTCTGATCAACTGGTCAAAGCGGAGGAAGGCCAGGAATGGGGACAGTGACCGACTTACCTCCCACTTGCCCACTGGTTTCGGCTAAGTCTCAAGATTTTATCGTTGACCCCCCCCGTTGCATTGTTCCCCACAAGCAATACAAAACTCAAAAAGCTTGGTTCGGCTTTTGTGACCTACTGCCGACTACCGGCCAGTGTTCCACAGAGTTGGCTTGTTAACACCTTGACCTGTTGGTGAAGGCGCATCCGCCTCGATGTGTCACACACACACACAAAACCGGAACGTTGCACGCCGGTGTGTCCGACCCCAATCCAACAAGGCTTAATGTGCGAAGGGCAATGAGCCGAACAAATAGCACGCCCTGTGCGACCACAAAGCTCTGCAATGTAGGCGATTGATGTCCGCTTGATTGTGGACTCTTGAAGATTTTCGGGTTTTAGTTGCCCAGTGGCACTCGAAAAATGGACACCTCTCCTCTCCTTTTTTGTTTTTCCATTGCAAACTGAAGGGGAACCCCATCCCAAACAAAACGCAAAAAGAGAGGACCATTGCAAAAGCTTAAGCCAGCATGATCGGGGGAGTTGGGGGGCATGACCAACATGTAGAACAAGTAGCTAGGCGAACATGGCAGGCGAGCACTCCAGCTCCTTTTCCACATGATACCGATGCTGGTTGTGGATGATTGTGAGCAGGTAATGCTTGATCCATGAGCTTGACAACCACATGTTGCACCATGAGTTTGACAAGCCCTACTGAACCTGATGTCTAGTTCCTGAACTTGAAGCATGCTGGAAAAGTAATCCGGTCATTCCTCAATGAATGGGAGTCTCTGGATTCTGCCTTGAGTGGCGATTGATTCGGGGTGTCCTGTGAAACTGACACATTTGAAGCTCAGATTTTTTGGGCGGGGGGCGGGGGGAATCGCTCGTGATCCCTTGCGCCTGTGCCAGCTCCTGGCGAAGCGCAAGGATGAGTGCATGGCCATTTTGTGCCAGAACCAGGCATGGGCGCAGACTGCGAGCAGCGAGCCTTGGCCGGATTTCCAATCTGCGACTGACAAAGCTGAAAACAAGTTGTCGACCCGGGATTCATCAAACTGGTGGATTTTGTGTGGGTGTTCATTTTGAAAGCTCGGGATTCCCGTCATGGGACACCTCTATTCTTCAAGCCGTTCATAAATCCGCTATCACTGGAACCCCCATGCGGGACTTGAGAGGATATTTGTCCAAGACACTCGGGTTTCACTGAAAAATCTTTGGTGAGTGCTCCCCCACGAAACAGCAAATATCATAGGAGTCCTTGTTAGGTTGGTGTGCCTAAACATAGATGGCCCTGGTTCGTTTGGTTTTATTGCACTTACCAGGGCCACATATATATATATATATATGTATATATATTTCCAACAGAACACTTACGGTAAACAGTCTTTCTCTTTTTGCAGAGGGTCGGTTGCTCTTCCAGTTGCCACCCTGCCCTGTTGCACATCATGGCGAGGCTGCGTGTCAAATCCAGGACCCCTTCCAAATGTTGTGTTTGGGGTTTCTGTCCAATCGAACACTGGAAGGCATCTACTCCCCTGCACATTAACATAGAACCCCCAAAAATGGGGAGGATGTTTTTAAGAACCATCTGATTTGTCAGTTTTCATGTCCATGTTTCCCTGCGCCACATGTTCAGGACACTTTCAAGAAGTTCCTGGAAGAGCTGCCAGGATGCCAGCCCGAGCTCGTTTGTCGGCGTGCGAGGCGTCGGACGCGAACCAACCTGGAAGTTCAAAGATGAGCTCGTCCCTTCAGCTCAAGCGAGAGCAAGCCTCTTGAGGTCCCAGGACATGCCTTTGGCTCGGAGCGGTTTGCTCCTGGGAGGAGAGGGAATATAGAGAGAGAGAGAGCGAGATAACTTTTCAAGAGCACGCTCATCAACCGCAACACTTTCAGCAAGTGAAGCAACGAGGCCAACTGCGCCAGCAAAGCCAACAAACCTGCAAAAGCCAGCAAAGCTAACAGAGCCACCAAATCACCAAAGATCAGTCTGAAACTAGGGCTACACGGCCAAGAGTCAGGTTCATTGCCATTGCCAGGTATCGAGGACATGAAGAAGATCGTCGCAACCGCAAGTTCGCCGCTAGTCGTGGCAGATGCTCCTGCGAAGCAGAGGCGAGGGGTCGAACTCATTGATGACATCGTGGAGGTATGAGCGTCACATTGCCTTTACCTAAGTGACGTATTGGGGGGGGTTGCCTCAATGAAGAGTTCCTTAAGAGAAGCAATGCATGTTAGGGGGCGGCCACACATTTTCCCGTGGCTTTCTTGTGAGGGTGCTCCTTTTCGGGTTAGTTCAAAGGGCGTGCAAATAGAAACCGTTCGTTTCTGGTTCCCCCTTTTGGAGACAAGCCCAATTATTTGGGCAGACACTTCATTTTCTCAAGGTAGGACGTCGTTTTGACTGGTGGTGTTTGTTGGTTACGTGGAAACTGGTTTTCGCGGCCTTCCCCCGCTGAGACCACTGTCGGTGAGTTTTGGGGCTGCCGAGATTTACCGCTTCCTGGCTACGAATACATGCCTAGACTTGGACCCATTATTTGATCATTTTCAAAGTCACCCAAGTGGTGGCCTCCTGTCCACTAACACGGAACCCGACAGGGTCCCTTTAAAAGGAACTGGTGTTCCAGGACCCCTCTGTCAGGTTCCATGGTGGATGGTAGCTCAAAAAAAACGCCGCACTTAAGAGTTGCCAGCTCTTTGAAGGCAAGCCAAAGCCGGCCCATTTCCCTTTCCGGGTTGGTTTTGATTCGGAGAACCAAGGGAAAACTCACACCCACAATGTTTTGGTCCGTTTAAGACTCAGGAATAGCCCTTAACATTCTATTACGTTTTTTTTGACCACAATGAGGTTCCCTTTAACACTAGATAAACAGGGCACCTTCCCGCAAACGGGACACCTTCCCACCCGCAGATCAGGTCTGTCCCGCCGCAGTTGGCGGCGAAAGCGGAGGAACAGCTCCGTGAGGCCTTGACAATCATCCACAGCAGCCCAGCAGCAACCAGTGGGCCCTGTTTGTTAGCTAGGTCCCCCAGTAGTGTCCTTTTACCCGTTTTTTGCAGGAGGGTTCCCCTACTAAAATAGACTGCGGAAAAAAGGGTACCCTTATTCTAAGCTCCCTGGAGGACCTAGTTAAGGTCTGTGTTTTTTGCTTGGAGGGGGAGGGGTCCGTTTAAATTAACAGAACAAAAATGCATGCCGGTCCAGGTCCCTTCAGAAATGTAGCCCTTTGGTTGACTGAGTGTTTTTGGCGGGGATCTCCCCCTTTGTTCAGCTCCTTGGAAACGCAACAGGAAAAACGGCAGCTTCTTCGACTGTAATTTATGCAATTTAGGTGGATCTCCCCTTTAAAAAATGGTTCATTAGTTCTTGGTTGAGCTTCCCTTTCAGCCACCAAAACAATTGCATTCTATTCGACTGTTTTGGGAGGACCTCCCTTTGAAAACCAATCAGCAAGCAAGTTGGACTCTTCTTTCAACTGCTGTTGGATGGGTCTCCCTTTAGCATCCAGCCAACGACATGTTGCACCTCTCTTTTCTTCGAGGTTTTTGGGCGAGTCTCGTTGTGGAATCAACCAACAAGTTGCACTCTTTCCCGACTGATTTCAGGTTGGTCTCCCTCTCAAATGAGCCAGCAGCAAATGCTCCCGTATTTTCAATTGTGCTTGGGTGGTTTCTGCTTTGCCTTAACGTAACCCAACAAACAGGTTGCGCCCCTTTGTTTGCACGATTTTGGGCGGGTTTTGCTTCCGAAGCAACCAGCAGCAATGCTTCCGTCTTGTGTGTTTGGGTGTGTCTTGCTTTAGACCCGGCCATTGTTCGACATGGCAAAAGCGGGGTATTTACCTGGAGGCTATGTAGTGGAAGTATGTCCAACGAGGCATTGGCAACGTCTTTCCTCGAGATGGGCGAAGCGAAAATAAGATGGACAAAGGGACCCAGGCCTTCAAGCTCGTGCAGAGTGCGAAGACCTCCTTGGCGGAGTGGCAAAGGACGCTTGGTGCTGCGAATGGGACCTCTCATTATGGAAGCTAGCCTTGTTGTGTGTTTTTTCTGAGATTGCTCTAAACAGAAGCCAACGGGACAAGAAGAAGCACTAAAAAAGAAAGCATTTTTGAAGCTGTGGTTAAAGGAAACCAAAGGTAAGATCACTTGTTTGCGTCCCTATCTAGAGACAAGCCCTAATGGACCCCGCGAAGTTTCACTGGTTTCCTTTTAGTTTTCCATGTAACCTGCCCTCCAAAACCGGGGGCCCTTTGTGGTTGCTCTATGGGACGGAAAAAAATCTTTAGGCTTTGTTGAAAGTGGGGGACTTTGCTACTCGTGGTTGCAACATCCCTACCCCCTTTGAAAATCGATCGGGAGGCGGGTGACCCCCTGGAATTTATGGTTACATTTTCCCTTGTGTGGGACTCGGACATAAAATTGGGGGAACTCCCAGAAGGTAGGGGGATGTTACACCACTTCGCAAGTTGGACCAAGGAAGGACTATGATACGGACCCAATTGTCGCAAGGCTCGACCCAGAAAGCTGGGAATCCATCCTCCGATTCCTGGTGAGCATGCACAGTTCCGGCATCCGGCGCCCGTATTCAGAGCCCATCAAAGAGGTGGTGGATGCGCTTGGCACACTTTCGGAGCCCTTCAGGACTGCAATAGCCCACCAGACTCACCATGCCCGAGAACCAGGTAGCATACCCGGAGGGAATTTTGCCTCACACTCCGGGTAGGGGGCTTACACTTCTCAAAGTGTCAGTAGTGTCCAGTCCTCACCAAGACTGAAACTGAAACCCAGTTTCCAACTTTTGGGGTTCCTCCCTGGCTCAGCGAATTGGATCTGGCAGGAGAGCCGTGGAGTCCACCAGCTTGCCGTGGAGCGAGACACCCGGGAGCCTGGCTCTTACATTGCGGGTTCCGCAAAGGATGCATTTGGACCAGCTTGAAACTCGCCTTTGGCTGATGAGAATCCCCTTGTGCAGGTGGTTGTTGGATGCATCCTCTAAAAAGCCCTGTTTGATGTCCTTTTGCTTGCGGTTGGAAGGCATGGTCATGGACCCTTCAGGGATCATAGGCAACCAATGAAAGGTTTCCTTGTATAGGGAACCATGACCATGACCTACAGACGGAGATTTGACCCTGGCATCGCGGCAAGCCACAACTGGACATGACAGGAGTGGATCTCCCAAGTGACGCCGGCCATGGCGACGTCCTTGCAAGCAAGATCCATGCCGACGACGCGGACCTAAGCGGGACCATCCATGAACCGGACCAGCTTGCCAAGGACCCAGCCATTGTCGCACCAAGCCTGAAGTTGATGCGTAAGGTGCACCTTACATTTGTTCTTTTTTTGTTCTTCTCTATTTGTTTCTCTTTGTCGACCTGAACTGTCGAGTCCGAAGCCGAAAGCACAGAGCTTGTGCGCTCTTGAACCTTCAAACCTTCTGCAAAACAGAGCTGTTTCCCCCATGTTTCTCAGCAACAATATACAATCTGGGTGCTAAATGGAAGCCAAGTAGGGCATGCATGATTCCAGCTTTCATGTCCTTTCCTATCCAGAACCCATGGAGAACCACTTTCGGGCCACCAACCAGGCTTGGGAAAATGTGATACAAGCCAGACCCTGGCACCTTGCAAAAGGGCAGCCAAAACGAGTTCAAGCGATGGTGATCTAAAGAGAGTTGTCGGGTGGAGTAAACCGCTGAGAATCCTCTCTTTGGCTGCATGTCTCGAATCGCCCAAACCCAACCAAACCCAACCCCCAAAACCCGCCCAGACCCGACCACCACGAACAAAAGCCGGCCAAACCGCGCGATGTGAGGACTTCACCATCGCCTTTGACCTGCAATCCTCGGAATTCAAAACCAGCTCCTTGCCAGGCGGAGTCGATGGTCGATCCTTGTTGGCTGGCGTTCTTGGAAAGCTTTTTGCGGGAAAGCATCTTGAGACGCACTCATGGCCTGGTTGCCCTGAACCTGAAAAAGATGACCAATCCTGTTTGGGAATTGTAGTGGTGTCCTTTGGTTTCGCGCGAATTGTCCTGAACATGCTGGTGAGTTGGTGGACGTACTGTCGTATTGTTTGGGAAGACCAGTTTAGTGTCAAACACAAAGACACCAATGACCAAGCCACGTTTGGGTAGAAAATTGGTGGGAGCAACTCCTTTAAAAGCTTTGGTTTGGGATCAGCATGCCGATTTTTGAGAAATGGGAGCAACCCCGTTTCGCTTTGCTTGCAATGTCAACTTCAGGAAGGGTACCCTCAATGCATCCAACTTCGCCTTTCCAGGCAATTTTAGCGCTCCAACTTGACTTTCCATGTCAACTGTGGCTAGAAAAGTTGTTTGCGTTTTATCGGATGGTGCAAACACAGGTGACTGAAAAGGAAGCCGGAGATTTCTTTCTTTCTTTCTTTCTTTCTTTCTTTCTTTCTTTCTTTTTTTTTTTGGGGGGGGGGCATTTCATGACACACCTGTGGTTTTGCAGAGCTTGAGTCGAAGTGTTGCAGGCCAGCCAGAGCGGCGCTTGAGCTCGCTGATGAGGCTGGCCTTTCCGTGCGGGGCAACTTGATGCGAATTGGGGGATAGGACGAACCCCTTTCAGATGCCTTTTGATCTGAAACCAACCCAGTTGTTCACCCGGCTCCCCACCAAAAAAAGGTCAGCATCAGGTGGCTTAAGGGGATTTTGTTCTACCAGTGTCATTGGGCAAGTGGGGAAAGGAAGGCGTTTAGTTTCAAAGCCCTTGTTCTTGGAAGCCCGTTGCATCCCCAGGAGGCTTGACCGCTGAGCGGATTCCCGGATACAGTGCCTGGCAATAGACTCAGGCGATAAATTTTGCGAGACTTGGAGCAGTTGTACAGTTCTGTTCCCATGGGTCAATTTGCCCTGTCTCTCGCGCATCAGCAAGCACCAGAACTTGCTTGTTGCACCTCCAAAAAGTGTTTGGAGCCGATGCAGCCACGAAACTCTTGACCGGGTGACCTCGTAGTTGCTCGGTACTTCATGGCATGGATATGAGCCGTTTGAGCTTCAACATGTGCGTGCATCGCGTGGAATGAGCATTTCTTGGCAGATCACCAGTGTCCCGACTTTAGGCTTGCTCGCGCGGCACACATGTTTTCTCCAGGCAGAGGCAAGCAATGCGGGCGTTCCTCTCAAATTTAAGGGCCATTTCTTTCCAGGTGGCGTTTGGTTCCCTTTTCCAAGCTGTTCGGTGGCACGCTTTTCCATTTTGTTGAGTGTTTCTTTTCTCACCAAATATTGTCTACCATGATCGCTGGGAAACTGGTTTTGGGTTTCCCTCTTTGGCTTCAGGGAAAACCAGAAGCGCCAAAGAGGAGGCCCCAGTTGGGCACAGCCCATTGAGAAGCACGACCGCGCGGCATGTCCCGCGTCTCGTGCCGGACATGGTGAAAGCGCGGCAGCGAGGCCCGCGTCGCCGAGCCACGGCTGGCGGCTCGGAGACCCAAGGGGAGGAATCTGTCTGGGTGAATTATAACGACCTCACCACCCCAAATGGTGGTTTATGTGGGGAATAACCCCCCGACCACCTCATTTCAGGCTGGTGAAACAAAAAATAAGCGTCCCACCCGAAGAAGAAGCTGGGCATGCTTTCGATGCGGTTTTGCCGGTAGTCTTTCACATTGTCTACCAGCAATGCTGGCGGTGCTGGTTTTCTATCCACGTCTCAGCTCTGCGACGATCCGTTTGCTTATGCAGTAATTCAAAGCTCAGACCTTCAAACATGCCACACAAGGGCATGGCCGGGCTTTGAGCCTTATTCTTACTTGGCGTTATGGAGATAAAAGTCGTGCTGAAATGACCCACCAATGTTGTAGTTCGCAGGACCAATTCCCCTTTGTTTTGTTTGCACCTCAAGCGTCTTAGGGCCCCGTCCCGCATTGTGCCACATGCCACATGCCCGTTCCTGGCAAACTGCCAACAAGCAAGCCTTCTTGAGGACTAAAAGAGTATGAAAGTCAGTAAGTCCCATTTTACTTTCTTTGCAAGTGTCATGGAAATGGCCAGCTACCGTCCTTTGCCACAAAACTGTACTCGTCCAAAAACCCTTCTGGAAGCGGACCCGTGTTGGAACGAGGGTGCACGGTGGGGCTGTTCAGAGGCAATCCTCCATCGTTCCGCTGGCCTCCCTCCCCCGAGTGGCCTCTCACACGGGATAGCGGAGACCCTGCATTTTGGAAACCCTCCATTGTGTATCATGCTGGTAACCCCAACAGGGATTCTGGGCAAACTTTTTGCCAGCTCACCTTGGAGTGCAGCCTAGGGCTGGGCGAGTTGCAGCCCTCCGGTGTCTAGCAAGGCCTCGCGGCCAGTGGTTTTTGGCGCTGGGGCCGTGGGTTGGTCCTGGCTGTGTGCTTCGTCTTTTCTTGTGGACTTCTTCCGCCTGGGCTACGTCTGTCTTTTGGCTCCCTCCCTGCTCCTTTGAGTATTTGGTCGTCTGTCTGGGAGAATCCCTGCGATTGTTCTGCCCCCGGAGCTTGGTGCAGGACTGTATTGCATGTTTGGAGTTTGGGTGTTCCCTGAGATGACGGCTTCTTCGCTTGTCCGCCTCTTTCTTGCCGTATGCGGCAGTTGTCAGACCTCACCGCACAGCCCGCTGTCTTGGTGTAGTTGTGTTGAATGTGGGGTCTAACATGCGTTGTGTTTGCTTGGACTTCTCTCACCTCCGGAATTAGTTCAAGGACGCCCTAGGCCTATGTCGGCGCCAGGGGACCAAAAAGAAAGTGCAAATGTTCAGGGGTTGCGCTGCTCCCCGCTGTGACGGAATCTGGTTAGTCCTGCGCGGCACAGTGTCGCGGCGCTTTGCATAGGCTGCCGACCATGGTAGCCGCCTCAGGGTCACGGTGTCTAACTTGGTTAGTGTGTGGGTCTCCCCGTTTGCAGAGGCCGGCATGGCCGGCCTCATTGTTCTCCCTGCCACGCAGCGCGCTCTCGTCTTTCTGGCTTGTGGCCCAGAGCACGGGTCAGGCCGCTAAAACGCGACCGACCTCGAGTGATGAAGGGGGTGTTCCCTCGCAATTACAGTAATTTTCGTGGGACTCCCAGTTACCTTAATAGTAGCCAGAGCTTTTCCCATGAGTTTTCAAAGGGTGGTTTCTGATTGCCATTGGCAACTGACAGATACCAAAGATATTGACAACCGTAAGCATGAATCTCTTGCCAGGTTTGGCGATTACCCTTTTCAGGTTACCGAAGGATTCCAATTCCGCACCAAGGAGGCGCCGGACCTGGACGGTGACTGGCCCGGCACTCATCTCTGGACGGATCCGTGGGTCTGGGGTTAGTTTGGCACATGTGACGCCCAACCGCCCAACCATTTTTTAAAAGTATTTGCTGTTGGTACTGGAAGCGGATTGTCCAGGGGCCCTTTGATCAGTTGTGTCCAGAATTGCTTTCCTTTTCTTGGGATAGAAGGTCTCAAACGCACAGAACTGAAATGGTGGGGGGGGGGATTTTTTGAGGACCCTTTTCAGCTTGGCTTAAGAGAAATCAAAGGAGCATCTCCTTCATCATTGGACATCCTAACATCGGTTCCCCAGAATGAGACCGTGTCTTGGTCTTGATTGAAGAACACCAGAGACAGGGCTGGGCTTAGCACACGCTGAATGATTGCCCGAGTAAAAGGATCAACCCCGCAAAGAGCTTCAAGTCTTTGTCTACCCTTTCGAGCAACTGAAGAACTGGGCTCTTATGGGCATGTGCCAATCGGGATTTGGACCCAAAACAGTCGGGTTCCTTTTGGTTTCCATTTGGCTTGCCCAAATTTCCTGGTCAACTTCAAGGGTCCCTTGGCGGAGGTTTTGGCTGCAGCTCGCTTCGTGCCTGCCGCTGCTGTTGCGCCTGCGCTTGCGGACGGCTAGCAGCACGGCCGCGCTTGCAGTGCTGGCGGCCGAGGAAAGATGATGACCGTCGGCGTCGGCAGAGTTTCATTTGGGTGTGTCTCTTTGTCTGCATGATTGCGTGTCTGTTTTTGAGAGTATCCTCTTTGTCCTCTTTGGTGGTTTAAAGGGAAAGACGGGGGACAACCGATATCCATCTTTTTGGGCCCCTATTTTGACACGTCCCAATGTTTTGCTTCAAATTTGCTTGCTCCAAAGTAGATGGTGCCCCCCTCCTCTGCAAAAACAAGAAAAGGCAAGCCCTGGGTAGAAATCACAGAAATTGCTTGCCCACTTGGCCCTTTTGTCTTTTGGGTGTGCAACTTTTCGTCTTTTGAACATGAACAAGTTCACTTTTTGCACGGGGTTGGATCAGCCCAAGTGGATCAGATAGTTTCTGGCGATCTCACAAAGGGCGGGGTTGCCGCCTCGCCCACGATGAAGTTTCCTTGCATAGGAGTCCATTTCAAGTTTCAGGTTGTGTGCATTGTTGAATTTCGCCCAGCAGCTTGTGCGTGTGTGATAGCTTGCTTGCTTGCTTGCTTGCGTGCGTGCGTGCGTGCGTGCGTGCTTGCTTGCTTGCTTGCTTGCTTGCTTGCTTGCTTGCTTGCTTGCTTGCTTGCTTGCTTGCATGCTTTCTTTGTTTCGACACAGGACCGAAGAGGTCCAAAGCAAAGGCCATCCATCCATGTGTTTGCACGTTGTTTGTTGGGCAAACACGTTGACTAGTGTATGGAAGGGCGATTCGCACTTCTCAAATACGCAGGGGGCTCTGCGCTTTGCCTCGTGGGTAGTTTAAGCTTGATAGGGGACAGCCGCAACAATATGTAGACTAATTGAATCTCATGTTTTGATCTGAATCACTTCTTTTTGGCTTTCCTTTATAATTAGTGGTTAGGATCATACCCCTCCTTCGGACGGTGTGAGGCCAAGAGGAAATCATCAACAGCCAGTTTTCGGGCTCGGATTCGTATAGAACAGGTGGAATTCCAAGTCATTGGTACATCCGCTGATTCCATTCGGGCCCTTGAACGATACACAATGCAGTAGATCAGCGTGGATTGCCAACAGGGCATCAAGGTCGGAGGCATCGATCTCGGCTCACCAGAGGAGTCCTCGGAGTCGGAGGTGGACCGGGAGGTGTTTCAGGGCCTCTTGCCCGAGATCAAGCAGATGTTGGCCATGTCGGACTTGGAAGATGCCATGGCAGAGGCAGGGGTCCTTGACCGTCTCAACTTCTTTCGGGCCCTCAACAACCATGTTTTGAGACCCCTCCAAGCCCCGGCGTGTCCGATGGGGTCTGGGTCTTCCATCGGACGCCGCAGGCGTGTTTGGGAGGAACAAAGTCCTTCGGTAGAAGGACTAACCATTGCCATTGGCCATGTTTCAAGTTGCTAGTCGAATGGTGCAATGTTTGGGAAGTTGGATGGCTCTGGAGAAGCATGTCTTCATGGGACCTTCACCCCACATCAATCAACTGAGTTTTTGGTTCGACTAATAAGGGGAAGGTGCTGAGGGACGGGCAATGCTATACTGCGAGCCCCAGGTTTGATCAAGCATGTCTCGCAGTGTAGGTGCATTTAGGGACATTGGGAGCCCAAATTTCGACTACAAATGTTCCCCCCCACCCAGGGGACTAGCTTTCTTTCGCCAACAGCAGCAGATTCACCGATTTGTTTCACAAAACTCAGACGGAGCCGAAAGTTCCAGCCCGACAAACCTCAGGTCGCAGCAAAGCGCCGGACCGCTGTGAAGTCCGTGCTCGACACCTCGCTTTCGCCGTGGATTTCTTTGACCCGGGCGATCCATAGAAAGTGGAGACCAACGAGACCCAGTCGGAAGCAAGCAGTTTCGTTTAAGTTGCACCAAAAGCACTCTGTTTTCTCCAAGCTGTTTCTGGTTTTTGGTTCGGGTTGCCCTTAAAACAAACGGCTTGGTTGCATTCCACCCCCTGCTTATCGTTTTCCCTTTTTTGTTGCTGGTATTGCCTGCAACGCAAGCCATCAAGTGTCGCTTCCCCCTCTGGTCGCCGGGCAATTCAGGAGAGACGGCTACATGCTGAAGTCAAGAGATTCAAAGCTCCAGTTTGCAAGTGGCGTGGCTTTGGATCTTTCCGGCGATCATGGAATCGGACAAGACTATCCTTTTGAAAAGGCCTCTTGTCCACTTCCATGATGCAAGGAATGCAGTATGGTTTTCTATGGATTTTTAGTACACCTGAGTAACCCGAGGCCTTCAAAGGTGACTTTCCCTCATTTGTCTTCTGAGTTCGCTCGCTACGGAAAGATCTAGGCGGGACCTTGCTGCTGCTGGAGGGCCGGATCCGGATTTCCAACTGCTTCAATCCGCTGGTCCACGGCCCCAAAGTCACCGGGGCCTGGTGGTACAGATCCGACGGGAAGGATGTCCTGGAGAAGTTGGGCAAGGCCGTTCCGGCTTGCATCCCAAGTTCCGGTTTGTTGGATCACGGAACAGGTCGATTCTCAACAGAAACCCCTTCCCCCTAAGCCGTGAAAGGGGACGATGAGAAACACCCTTCATGGGCACCAGAATCAAGTTGGGGGGTAAAAGCTGAGGCCACCACTTTTCTGAAAGGTGTCCTTTCCCAAGTTTGCACCGGAGGCCAACATGTCCTTCTCGTTGGATGAGTACCACAACTTCCATGGCCGCTGCAGCCTTCCCACTGTCGTGGCCGAATGGAGGCAGAATTGGGACATGGGCCAAGGATGGGACAGATGTTGGCGTTGCAGGTACGTGGTGGATGTGCTCCCTCCATCCGAGGATGCGGCGTATGTGGCCGCCCTGCTCTGCGAATCCAGCGATGACATGATCGAGCCATTGGGCTGCAGCCGGAAGCCTGCGATGTCATCCAGCATCCCCAGCTGGTCATCACCCAACGGTTATACCCCTTTTCCAGCATGGAAGTGGACAAGAGTCTGTTTCAAGAGGATGGCCTTCCAAACCCCTCCTGTCCACTATCATGATTGTTGGAAAGAGGGTCCACTTTCATGATTGTTGGAAAGAGGGTGCGCTGAAAGTGCGGCTTTCTGCTGCGATCAATTTGTGTTGGCTTTTTTGCCGCTTGCTTTGCTGTGAACCTGCAAGCAGCCCAGTTGAGGCACGTGTCAATCCCGCCGAATCTTGCCACTGTGGCGCGTGCGGCAGTCAGCCACAGCCAGGACTTCGCCAAAGGGCTTTTTGGATGTGGGGGTGTCCAAACACCGACCCTTAAGAATGGTAGTTTCCTTTTCCTTTGTAACACCCAAAAAAGGATCCCCCCCCCATTTTTGGACACTTCTCCCACCATTCCACCAAGCCCCCAATAAACAAAATCACCGCCTCTTATGAAACAACATGAAATGCTTTGACGAATCACCTGCTCCAATAGACGTGCAACTCAAAGGTGTAGGTTCCCTCACTCTGGTGGATACCCCGTTCTTTTCAATTCTTCTCAAACGGACGGTTTCCCTGGCTCCTGCTTCTTCAAGGAAGGATCCCTATGGGGAAACTACGCTTCGCTTGCATCAAACCATTGACTCAGCGCAGGAGGCGTTGCTGCTTCGTTGGGTTGTGGCTGATGAGGAGACGCCAGCTGATGGTGCAGGTTTGCCGAAAGAGCAACTGATCCTATCGCTCATGGTGGATTTCCAGTCAAGTTGATCGTTGAGGCAATTACGTTGTTGTGGATTCGGAAACTTTGGTGGGCCACTGGAGAGTGTTGTTTTCTTGCAGCTCTTTGCTGCTTGCTTGACGCGTCGCGCTGCTCGGTCAGTTTGCCTTCAGCCCCCATTTGATATGTACAGCTCGTTATTTTTTGAGGACGTAGTGTGCTTTCTAAGGGCTCCGTGTGCCCTTTGGGCAACTTCTGGTTGATGTTCACCTCCTTTGTCCATTGCCGGACTTAGCTTCTCTCTGTTGTTGTCTTTTGGCTTTCTTGCAAGTTCCCTTATATCAACATCCCCGCAACATGGCCTTGGCATAGACGCACGGAATGCCAAGCCGGGCTCCGTCTTTTGGCGTTGCATGCGAGCCATCCGAACCTGGGTTGAGATGAAGGGACAGTCCCAATCCAAAATAGGTTCAAGAAGCCTCCGGTGTTCCTTCATGGGTTGGGAAGTTGGGAAGCGCCTGTTTTTTGGGGTATGGGTAGGCAAAGTTTTGACCCATAGCAACTGACAAAACTGGCGCGGTCTATTTTTCTTCCAACGTACCCATATGATTCATATGATCCATTCACGATGCCAATGTTTGGGATTTGGGGAGGGGGCATCACTCACCACTCAACATGCCCGGCCCGCTTTTTTTTTTCCGATGCCGGGGAAGCCGTTTAGGAGCCAGTGTGCGTGCGCCTGGCCGTGTATGGCTCGGCTGGACCTGAGCTCGTGGTGGACGAGGCATCGCAGACCAGGGTCAACCAGGGTTCAATTACCAACCGAGCGGGTAAGCCGGTTCGGAGTTCTCGTGGAAACAAGAAGCCACATGGAAGCCACATGGGGTTGTGTTGTCTTAAGGCTACCCCGATTTTGAGGGTAAGTTTTCGGCAAAACAAGTCGGCCAGCACAAGTTCCTGATGCAAAACCAGGAGACCGCAACAGCTTACGAATTTGCCCAATCCCTTTGCAGGGGTCCAAGTGCATTTTCTGTCTTGGATGGCTTGATTATCGCCTTTTGAATGAATTCCAATTAAGTTTCCTGTATGTTGAAGTGAATTTGCAGGGCAGCGGAATTTCTCCGCCGCTGATGTGGATGAGGTGAATTCCGCTTTGTTCCCCAGTGAAACAAATTGAACATCCGGTATCTGCAAATATTGGAGCACTTGAGGCCGGATCTCGGGCACGTAGGTTCTGAAGCTGGAAGTGGGTTCCGGGGGGCCCGCTCTGCGCTTTTCACTACCCTGGCAGCTTCCATAATCGGAAGTGTTGGGAGGACCTGGAATGGAACCACCATTTTGGAGGAGTTTGCGTTTGGGGGACCCCATTTGGCGCATGGAAACGTGCCAGGGAGTATCTTCCTGGGACGCTACCCTGGCAAATGAACGAAAGCTCCTTCAGACCACATGGAACCCACCAGGAAGTTTAAGGAGTTTCCTGCACGGGTGCTCGATCCCAGTCAGGGGGGGGCGCTCATTGACCCCAGTTTGAGGTCTCATGGTGCTTCGGAGTTCTCCAGTGGCACCCTCTAAATCCATTGACCTAAAGTAGCACCTCCTACCTTTGGGTTCCCTTTGTCAAGAAACCCCCCCATTCAAAAGGGGGGGCCGCTGAGAAAAGGCACGCCCCTGTGATTTGAGGATTCAACTTGTTTCTCCAAATCGATTGGTCACCGGGCCCTCGTGGCACGCATGCAGGTGCCCTTCAGCTCGCATCAGCGCTGGGCCGAGCCACCGGCCGCTGCGACCTGAAGGAAGATGCGTGGAAGCCGCTGCTGCTGCAGTTGTTTTTCTCTTGTTTTCCAGGGCGGGGTTAACACCACCATTTCGAGCATAGTTTTCGAGGATGCAGCAGCGGATTGGAGTTTTTCTGTTCGATTCGAGTCCGCCCGACCTTTTCCAAACATGGACTATTTTTTTCCCCCGAAAGCATCGCGAAGGGTTCTTTGGAAAAAACGGTTGCCGACTACACAGCCTGACTTAAGCAGCCTAGCTTACGCAGCGGGACTTACTCAAGCTGACTTACGCAGCCTGACCTACGCAGCCTGACTCACGCAGCCTGACTTACGCAGCCTGACTTACGCAGCCTGACTTACGCAGCCTGACTTATGCAGCCTGACTTACGCAGCCTGACTTACCAGCCTGACTGACGCAGCCTGATTTACGCAGCCTGACTTGCGCAGTCTGACTTACGCAGCCTGGCTTACGCAGCCTGAGTTACGCCGCCTAGCTCACGCAGCCTGACTTACGCAGCCTAGCTTACGCAGCCTGACTTACACAGCCTAGCTTACCCAGCCGCAGCTCATAGCCTTTAATTCTATCTTCTTTCTTAGCCGGGGGCAGGTCTGGCGGGCGCTGGGGGGATGAACCCTCTATGTTCTACGTCGCCGACGAGCCCTTTGCGGGGATCGTGCGTGTCGGAGCACTCTCGCTGTGGAGCCGTGTGAATTTCAAACCTCGCCGACGAACCTTCTGCGGGGATCGTGCGTGTCGGAGCGCTCTCGCTGTGGCGCCGTGCGAACTTTCTACGTGGCCGAAGAACCCTCTGCGGGGATTGTGCGTGTCGGAGCGCTCTCGCTGTGGCGCCGTGCGAACATTCTACGTGGCCGACGAACCCTTTGCGGGGGTCGTGCGTGTCGGAGCGCTCTCGCTGTGGCGCCGTGCGAACTTCCTACGTGGCCGACGAACCCTCTGCGGGGATCGTGCGTGTCGGAGCGCTCTCGCTGTGGCGCCGTGCGCATTTGCACGCTGGCCGACGAACCCTCTGCAATTGGAGCGCTCTCGCTTGTGGCTCCGTGCGAATTTTCTACGTCGCCGACGCACCCTCTGCAGGGATCATGCGTGTCGGATCGCTCTCGCTGTGGCGCCGTGCGAATTTTCTACGTCGCCGACGAACCCTCTGCGCGGGATCGTGCGTGTCAGATCGCTCTCGCTGTGGCGCCGTGCGAACTTTCTACGTGGCCGACGAACCCTTTGCGGGGGTCGTGCGTGTCGGAGCGCTCTCGCTGTGGCGCCGTGCGAACTTTCTACGTGGCCGACGAACCCTCTGCGGGGATCGTGCGTGTCGGAGCGCTCTCGCTGTGGCGCCGTGCGCATTTGCACGCTGGCCGACGAACCCTCTGCAATTGGAGCGCTCTCGCTTGTGGCTCCGTGCGAATTTTCTACGTCGCCGACGCACCCTCTGCAGGGATCATGCGTGTCGGATCGCTCTCGCTGTGGCGCCGTGCGAATTTTCTACGTCGCCGACGAACCCTCTGCGCGGGATCGTGCGTGTCAGATCGCTCTCGCTGTGGCGCCGTGCGAATTTGCACGCTGGCCGATGAACCCTCTGCGGGGATCGTGCGTGTCGGATCGCTCTCGCTGTAGCGCTGTGCGAATTTGCACGCTGGCCGACGAACCTTCTGCGGGGATCGTGCGTGTCGGATCGCTCTCGCTGTGGTGTTCGTTAAAATTCAGTACAAAAGTAGTATGCGAAGCGCGCTCCCGCACCTCCGGCCTGAGCATGGCAAGTTTTAAGTAGAAAAGTAGCACGCGATGTACGCTTACGCAGCTCCAGCCTGAGAATCGCAATGTACGCTTACGCAGCTCCAGCCTGAGAATCGCAATTTTTAGATAGAAAAGTAGTACGCGAAGTACACTCCAGCAGCTCCGGCTTGCAAAGAAAGGAGGGAGGGAGGGAGGGAGGGAGGGAGGGAGAGAGAGAGAGAGAGAGAGAGAGAGAGAGAGAGGGAGAGAGGAGAGAAGAAGAGAGGGAGAGAGAAAGAGAGAGAAAGAAAAGAAAATACAGAGAAAGAGAGAGAAAGAAAGAAAGAGAGAAAGAGAGAGAGAGAGAGAGAGAGAAAGAGAGACAGAGACAGAGACAGAGACAGAGACAGAGAGAGAGAGAGAGAGAGAAAGAGAGAGAGAGAGAGAGAGAAAAGCAAAAGAGAGAGACAGAGAAAAAAGAGAGAGAGAGACAGAGAGAAAGAGACAGAGAGAAAGAGAGAGAGAGAGAGAGAGAGAGAGGGCAAGAGAAAGAAAGAGAGAGAACGAGAGAGAGAGAGAGAGAGAGAGCAAGAGAAATAAAGCGAGAAATAAAGCGAGAGAGAGAGAGAGATAGAGAGAGAGAGAAAGAGAGAAGAGAGAGAGAGAGAGAGAGAGAGAGAGAAAGAGAGAGAGAGAGAGAGGGAGAGGGAGAGAGAGAGAGAGAGAGAGAGAGAGAGAGCGAGAGAGAGAGAGAGAGAGAGAGCAAGAGAGAAAGAGAAAGAGAAAGAGAGAAAGAGAACTAGAAAGAGACAAGAGAAAGAGAAAGAGAAAGAAAAAAAGAGAAAGAGAGAAAGAGAGCAAGAGAGAAAGAGAGAGAGAGAGAGAGAAAGAGAGAAAGAGAGAAAGAGAAAAAGAGAGAAAGAGAGAAAGAGAGAAAGATAAAGAGAGAGAGAGAGAGAGAAGCAGTGTATATATATATATATAGCGCCATATGTATACCCCAACATGATTGCTTTCGGGATAATCGGTGTCTAGTTTTGTTGGATCCTTGGTTCTTTGGTGGGATGTGATTCCATTGTGTACTGAAACTGAGCAATCCTATGCTCAGCTTCTTGCACTGGTTCAATTACATGTTTTGGGCAGAACTTAAGGCTAAAGGTGGACTATGTTTCCTATGATGAGATCCTGTGTGTGATTTTCCTCATGTTTCTTTGCGTGGGATTTGTTCACGGACACGTTCTGTTGGAGGTCGTGGTGGCTTTGGTTGTGCTTGTGGGACTTGGTTCGCCTGCCACGCTCCAGCGATGTTTGTTGAAGGTTACCTTGTTCAGGTTGGTTTACGCAAGCCAAATGGAACGCCACCATTTCGGGGGTTCTTTCATGTTGACATTTCGACCCCTACCCAGTTGGCTTTGGTTACTTCGGAACACCCCGGCGAACTGCCATTCGTATGGTCCGAATGAATCCAAAGGTATAAGATAAGCACGTTTGCCAAAAGATTCAGCAGCCCCTGGAGCTGGTAGACGCGTTGGCGGGGTGTCCGTTCACTCGAGCGTTTACAGGGGATCCTTCACTCGAGGCAGACCCCTATTTACCCGCGAGGTTTATGAATCTGGGGTCAACACGGGCACCACGAAGTGCCCAGCGAATCAATCTGCGCAAAAGCTCGAAGCACAGCCTGCTAAGCACAGCTGGTGCATGGAATTGCAACAAGCGACCAGAACAACACCGGCAGTCAAAGACACATGCCATGCTCACACTTTTTGGTATTTAGAGTTTAGAGGAATTGGCGACATCTCCGACCCAAAGTGCTTCTTTGAGCAAGGGATCAACGAACCCCAAGTTGCGCTTGTGTTGCCAAGAGACACATCATGCAATAGCCATGGCGCCGGCAAAATGGCTGCTTGCGGCACTGGCATTCTTTGCCTGCTGCGAGCAAGCAAGACTGTCTGCATTCTGTGCATCCCCGCCGCGACTTTTACCCGTGCCTCGGCCATCAGTTGTCTGGGGCCACCTTGGATGCTATGTTTGGGTACCCCTGAAAGACTGGGCAGGAAAAACAATCCTCAATCCATATGCCAGATGCTAATTTCGTAGTGGGTCGCTTGTTGTAGTGTTGTCCCACTATGGATTACCTTTTGGGATTCAGGATTGGAGTAAGATTAATGCTTCAGGACTGCATCGGGAATCCTCCCCGACTGAGCAGCGCAGAGACAACGAACGATAAGCACCAGTGATTGACTGGCTTTTTTGGTGTCAGCGGATGTTTGTTTCACTTGAGGCCGCCCGTTTGCTGACTCGTGGGAGCCAGTAGGTCAGTAGGACGCTACATTTGGTAAGATCTTACATCTTTGCCCATGATGGTAGAACAGGTCTAAGTCTAACTCCAAATTTTGGCTTGAGCATTGACCAAGGCGGACGAATCAACAGGATTCGGCAGTCACGCGATTTGTATCCCCAGGTTTTCCGGCATCATGGCCGGCTTTCTGAGCATTTGCGACAGCGAAGCGTTGGGAGGTCCAATTTCGCACTCGTTGAATTTCGCATTCACCGGCCTGGGAAGCCCCAAGCGTCCACCATGGAAACTGAGAGAGCCTGGTTGCTAGGGGGCTCCTATGCGTCCGCTGAATTCTACTTTGAAGATTTAGGATATTTATTTTTAGATCCCACACGGCGGTTTGGGGCCGTTTTGGTTTCCTTTCAAAAAGCCAGCATCCTTTTTGGGGTTCCACACTTTTGACCATCCCCTTGTGGTTTGAACGTTCGTTTGGCCACCTGGCCCTTGCGGGCCGACCAATTCACTCGCCCTCGTTTGGGAGGTAGACGTCCCTGTCGAGACGCCGAGGCTCCAAAACCTCGGACTGTCACCACAGCAGGCGCGGCCATTTGCACAGATCCAGCCCGAAGGTTAGAACGGAGCAAACACGCGATGGCACGTGACAATCCCTTTCTTGTATTTTTGGTTCCGGCTTGGCAAACATATAGGTTCACCCAGAAGGAGATCGCCTCACCGAATTCCCCATGTTGGGAGTGCGACTACTGCCGACCATGACATTGAAGGGTTGACAAAACGACCCTGGAGGAGTTCGGCGGATCCTTGTGGCAACCCTACCTGGAACTTGCTTTGTGTTTCGCGAGGCCATGGCCTCTTGCAAGTAGCGCTCGGAAACCTCGAAGTGATGTCATGGTTGGATCCACAGTATCCCCGAAATGATTCTTCTCCAAACGAGGATGTGCCCTTTTGGAGGTTTTTGGAGGGTACCCTTTTGGAGCTGTTTTGTGAAGTCAAGGGGAACCCTTTTTGGGATCCCTTTTATATGGGTGTGTCTTTTTTAGGAGATTCCCATTGAAGCCACAAAAAGGGGGCACCCTCAAAAAAGACACACCCATTTTGAGACACCATGAAGACCAGGTGCGTCTGCCGAGTTTGTGACGGACCGGATCCCTGGCGTTGCCCTTGTCGTGCCTCGGCCATCGGCCTGGAAGTTCCCAAAGGGAGCCCTTGCGAGGTCTTGGCCACTCGCTGGTTGGGTCTTGGGCCGGCTGTTGGGAGCAAGAACCTGGGGATTTTATCATCAGCATGGTCATCAAGGTATAGTTCAACACTGCCTCCAGGGTATCCGTTTTGCGGGGGTTCCCAAGACGATTTTGCAGGTTGATGTCGGTTTTGGGCTGCCACCTGTGATTTGTTCTTGGTGGGATTGTTGGGGTTATCGGGCTCATTCATATGAAACGTTTCTTGTGGAGATCCCTTGCTTTCTTGTGGGTGAAAGGGGAGGAAGGAAGGTAAACTCCGTTGGTTGCTTGGAGCCTTGGTTGGGTTGGATTGGGTTGAGTTGGGTTGCCTTGGTTTGTTGGTTTGTTGGTTGGTTGGTCGGTCAGTTGGTCGGTGGGTGGGTCGGTCGGTCGCTTGGTTCAGAAATCCCCCGAAAAGGTTCGCCCAGCAGCCTCGCAGCACTTCTTTTTCTTTTTGATCCGCGTGGGGTTTCCCTTTGAAGTCCTTTCGCACCAACAGAACACCTTGCATCCGTTTTTCCCATGAGCCAACTCTTGAAACCACTTTTTTTTTCCCACGAGCCAACCCAACTTCTTACTTGCCAAAGTTACTTTGGGATGGCCATGGTTCTTCTATTTTTTGCCGTGTCAAAAGGTGAGCTGGTTGTTTCCGGGTCCTTTGGGAAGGTGAGGCGCTCGTGCACTGAGCTGAGGCCTCACTGGCACTGCTGGCCAAGCGGATCGCGGCGCAGAACTTGGCGGGGGGCATTTTCAGCCCGCTCCTCTATGCAACTCTCACAGGACAGGGGGGAAAAAAAAACGGCAAGACGTGCGCACCCATGCTCCATTGCCGCGTTTCGTTGCTGCAGGGCTTGTGGTGGGGAACACGGTCCTCAAGCGGGTGGGCTCTCAGATGAAGTCCAACCTGAAGCCAGGCTGGGTGCCTGGCTTTGGGTTCAAAGTCAACGAGGCTCCCTCCATTTTGAACAACCCTTGGGGTTTCAGCTTGGGTCTGTGGAACCCTGAGAGAAGCTGCACGGAACCTGAGAGAAGCTGCTGTGCTGAAATCCGAAATTTGGTCGGTTTTGGGGGGTATCTTCCAGGTTGCGACAGGTGGCCACAAGGTCAACCCCAAAACTGACAAGCCTGGGACAGGGCGCAAGACGCGGGTTGGATCACAGGAGCTGGGAGCAGAGCTTGGATTCACTATGCCATGTACAAATTGCATACATAGAATACACATATATATATATATATTATATATCAGTTCCACCTGAACTCTAGCGACACTTCCAATGTTACAAGGACTTGGGTTCTCCAACTACCGGATCCTGTTGCCAAGGTCCCCATCCCTTTCGTAGCTGTTCGGACGCTGCCGCCTTCTGGGAGGCGTGAGCTTTGCCAAAGCTCGGCTGCTGCGGCTCGGGATCATCCTGTGCCGCGGATGGGAAAATCCCGCAAGAACCCACCAGGTCGAAACCGCGGGGGAAAACCACATCTCCGGGTCGCGTTCTTTTGCAGCAGGGCTGTTGGAAGGGGTTGGAGAACCAACTTGTGTGAAAGGGGATGGAGAAATCGTCGCTTGGAAGGCCTGCCTCATGGGAGTTGGCAATTCCCACAACGCTCCAAGCGGGTTCATGGGACCCGCCCATTTGTACAAGATTAGCTCAATATAAGCAGGGTTGCGCCGAGGGAGAAATCTGAGGAGTCTAGGAAGCGGCCTTGTGTCTTGTGCTGTAGCCTTCCCATAGCATGTGTACAGTACACATCTTGGAGTACCCATCTCAAATGCTTCAGCTTGACTCGACCCCTCATTCAAGGACACTCAGAGTGGTCAACACATGGCAATCCTCCAGTACCCACAGGGGAATTGGGCCACCTCTGCCCGAATTTCTGGAGATTGGACCATGCCCTTGAGCACCACTTTAGCAGGTAGCTGGTTTTTTGCATGAGTCGTTAAAGGAATTCTCTCGATTATATACCCGTGATAGTGGTAAACTGGAAGCACCGGGAGGGCATTTTGAGATTGAGAGATGTGGGGTTTAGAAAATCCACTTATGCAACTTATACAACTGCCTATTTTATAGCGACCTCACCTGGGGGGTATAGCGAGCTCACCATGATAAAGGTCCTTTACTTGAGGTTCCCTGAATTCAGCTTTTGGAAGCATAGTAAACATTGCAGTACAAGGATCCCTGTGTTTGGCTGCTTTGAAAGAAGACCTACCAAACCCACCTGTTTAAACACGTTCAAGCCAGTGTTGAAGCATCTCATTTGTGTTTCCCACACGTTTCAGCCATTTTTTAGAGGATGCGCTTATGACTTTTCAGCATCCTCATTTGTTTATATTCCCAACAATGTGTCCATGACTCGACTCGCGGAGGTATGGGTTCAAGGTCTCGGTGATGCAGATCCTGCAGCTAGGCCCAGGAAGTCTGGCAGCGGCGGCGGCGATGACCTTCTCCACCTTGGCGCGGGAAAAATCACGTCGGACAATCGAGCCGGCGCTCTGATGGTGTGTTGGAGCCCCCCAAACGTTGTGGTTGTCCTGTTGGTTTTGTCGCTTTGTTCGGATTTGGGGCCCCCAAATCCCCCCAAAGTTGTGGTTGGCCTGTTGGTTTCCCTTCAAAGAAAAAAGGAAAAAAGAAGAAACTAAGGGGCTTGATTCGAGTCCGTGGAATGTGAATGTTACTTTGGGGCCCTCCATGTCCCGTTTTGGACACCTCTCAAAAGTGGGCAGCAAATGTCAAGCTTTGAAGGGGAAATCCAGTGGCGGGAATGGGCTTGGTTGGTTTTCAAGGAAACCAGAAGAAGCTCCAATCCCTAAAAATGCGAGCCCTCTCATGTTGAGAACCCGAATCGAGTCAAGGTTTTAAACTTAGGTCCGGACCCCTTGGTGGGATTCATGCCCACCACTCTTGAGGTTTCCTACTAAAGTGCAAGCCATGGCTCGGTCTGGGCAAGTGCAGTTGGGCGAAAGTAGATGGCGAATTTAGTTCTCGCACATTTTGGTTTAGTCGCGCAGTTTCCGCACCCACATCAAGGGCATTTTGCCATCTACTTTGACTTTGCCGTATACTTAGCAAATTCACGTATACGGGGCATTTGACGGGTTCTAATTGAACAGGTTCCTAGAAGGCTTGCACCAAGCATGCAAAGAGCCTATTTGTTAGAAGCAATTTAGGTCACCCAAAACATGGAAACCAACAGGGGGTCCATCTCCCAAAAGAGATTCCTCTACAAATGTTGTCTTTTTAGTTCCATGTTAATCTGCCGGGGGTGGTTACAACAGCTTGCCGATTCGTGTTCTATATTGAGCTCGGGTCTCAAGATTTGAACGCTCCCTTAGGAGTTGTTTGTTTTGTGATTTACGCACGACTTGTTGGGCACTTTTACAATTAGCTTCGAGATGATTGGGTGACGTTGAAGGGGACTAGGCCCCTAATGAGTGCACTTGGGAGCTGCGATTTGGGTGCAGGTCCTGGGAAGCGGAATATTTCTTGAAGTCAGACGAAACCAACAGGAAGCTGCATATTTTGATGCCCAACATGTTCGTCCCATGGGGTGCCCCAAATTTGGAACCCACACTTGGTCACCCCTCCCGATTTTGGACAGCCATGATGTGGTGCTCAAAGGGAGGCCAACAGGAAATTTGTGTTTAGAGGGAAGTGAAACCACGATAACCACCATAAAACTGCATAACCCCCTTTTGGATGTATTTCAGGACACCTTTGGATGGTGATAGTGGTGTTCAAACCAAACAGCCGGAAAATTACCAACAGGACGCCTCTCTAGCATGACCCTTTTCTTTAGAGGGAAAGCACAGAAAGCCGAAACTGCGGAAAACCAACGACAGGAAACGAACAGGACACCAATAGCAAAGACATCAACAGCAAACCAGCAGAAAACCACCAGCACATCCCCATCCACTAGGACAGGTTGGGGGTTTGAAGCCCTGGTTCTTAAGGGCAAACCCCTCCGAATCACGAGGGTTGGCCAGGCGCTGGGCGCCTGCCTGGGCCGCCTGCTGCAGGTGGACCGCTCCACCGCGCTGCTGGTCACCACCGGGGCCTCGATCTGCGGGGTGTCCGCGGTGATGGCGGCGGCCCCAGTGGTGGAGAAGGACACCCGCAACCCGAGGGAGACGGGCGCTTAAGGACATAGACGTTTGCAGGAAAGGAACACGGAAGGAAACCATCCTTTTTGTTGTCCCCCAGCTTGACATATGTATATGAGTCAACCTCAGAATTATCAAAGACCACTTTATCAACGGCGTTTCATTCAATACTGTTTTTTTGCATTTTCCTTGGAGAACGATAGGGGACTCACAAAAAACGATACCCCTGAACATGGTTTGTGCTGGACCTTCGAGCTGGAGCTGCCGAAGTCTAACTTGTGTACCGTGCCTGTACTGAAAGCTGCGACTTGCGACCTGGAGGTTGCTGCCAGCAAGCAAAAGCCGCTTAGACTGACACGTGACCGCCGCAAGCTGCGACCTTCGAGCTGGAGCTGCCGAAGTGTAACTTGTGCACTGCGCTTGTGGTGAAAGTTGCGACTTGCGACCTTGAGGTTGCTGCCAGCAAGCAAGCCGCCAAGACTGATATATGATTACCGCAAGGCAGAGAAGGCTATTGTGTGTTTGCTTGGCTCTAACAGCTTATGGAAAATTGTGAAAATTTTCGTCACGCGACACACGCCCAGAACGATACCCCGGTCGATACCCCGTCGATACCCCGAGCATTGGCCCGAGTTGCAAATGTGAGGCCTAGTGCATTTGCTTACAAAAGACTACGCGTGTGGTTCCAGTGCTGTGTTTGCGTAGAAAGTTTGTCGGGTGCTTTTCGAGTTCGCGCGGCGCTATAGCGAGAGCGCTTGGGCACGCGTGGTCACCGCGAAGAGGGTTCACCGGGCACTTTCCAAATTCGCACGGAGTCGCAGCGAGGGCGCTTTGACACGCGCAATCCTCGCAGAGGGTTCATTGGGCACTTTACGAATTTGCACGGCGCCACAGCGAGAGCGCTTGGGCGCGCAGGATCACTGCAGAGGGTTCACCGGGCACTTTCCAATTCGCACGGCGTCGCAGCGAGGGCGCTTTGACACGCGCAATCCTCGCAGAGGGTTCATTGGGCACTTTACGAATTTGCACGGCGCCACAGCGAGAGCGCTTGGGCGCGCAGGATCCCTGCAGAGGGTTCATCGGGCAGTTTTAAAATTCGCACGGCGTCACAGCGAGGGCGCTGTGGCGCGCGCAATCCTCGCAGAGGGTTCATCGGGCGCTTTACAAATTCGCACGGCGCCACAGTGGGAGCGCTTCGAGGCGCGCGATCCCTGCAGAATGAATACACCCCACACAGCAAATATAGACGCTGGCTCATATATATATATATAGACATAATATGTAGTACGTATCTACATATAGATATATCGTGTTATATTGCCAAAGATACATATCTATGGCATGCCTCTTGTCGTTGCTCGTGTCAGAAGAGCTTTGTCAGTGGCCTCACATCCTGTGGTATGTGGCTGTGCAGCCACAGCATTGCTCAGAGAATACAAAACAACTTAAACGCTTCCTTTTCGGAAGGCTCTGGGAACGTGCTATGCCCCAAACTCCCCAGGATTGGCTAAGACCCATAGAGTTTCCTCCAAAACTCTGCATTTTAAGGTAAACTCAATACGAAACATACTCTGAACATCATACTTTTCAGCACAGGTGTCCTTTTTGGTTGTTTTGGTCGTAAACCAGATGCTTCTCAGTGTGCCCCATGGGCCAATAGGCACCCCGGAGGTCTCCCCCCCCTCAACCCCAAACCTCCCCCGCCGAAACCTCCGAAACCGGTTTTTGGCCGCAGGAGGGCGCCTCTGGCTCCAAGGTGTCCGTGGCCCTGGCCACGGTGATGGTCTTCGGGATCTGCTCCATGTTCGTGTGCCGCGGTGAGTCTTCTTCTTGTGTGCCGAGCGGTGGCGTCGGGGTGTTGGTGTACCCTTTTGGGGATTGGGTGAGGGGGAGAAAGGAGTGGAAACCAGCTCTTTCCTTTTGTTGGAAATCGAATCCTTACACATATATGTCTTGGTGAAATGAGCGTCATAGATTTCTTCAGGGGCTTTGTGATGAGGTCCCTCACCCAGTGATTCCAGATTTCCGGTTTGTGAATTACTGCATAGGAATGTGCACAGATCCTTTTTCGATGTCCGACCTTCTTTTCTGATCGCCAAGCGTGCCTTTGGGATGAATGGATGACAAGCAGAAGGACCACCTTGATGGGATTGGGGAAGAGATCTCGAACCATAGAATTCCATGTGTGATTTTGTTTGCCCCTTGTTGGAGGATGAATGAAAATTAGGGGATCTTCCACCTAATTTCGTGGCGTGACGGCCGTATCTAAACATGTATCTGTCTTGGGCCTTGATATATTGCTGGTGCATCTTTTGTGCCTTTGAGATCATCTATCCTGATCGGGCGTTCGAGCCTTTGTTTGCATATCATGCTGATTTCCCTTGAGATCATGCTCCTCCTTTTGTTGCATATCGAATTTGGCTCGGGCCGGATAATGTCATCCTCCACGAGCAGCTCCCAATCACCTGGTTGCACCTCACATTTGGAGGGTGTGCGCCCTGACCCATGAAGGTTTACTTTGCTGGCAGTACATCTTCTTTTCAATCTTGGTGAACCTCTTGCAAGTCGCTGGGCATCGAGACATTGGGCGCGCCTTTGTTTTTGCAGCAGGAATGGATCATAGATGCCCTTGGACCCAGGCTCCAGATGGCTAGCTTGTTCTTCAGCACCCAGTTATCAGTGATTGGCGGAGACTATGTGCTTTCTGGGTTAGGTTGTGCGGTTTGCGGATTACGAATTGTGGGTTGCATAGATGCTTCACGCACCAAACATACGGTGTTGGCCCACGATTTGCAGCAAACATGTTGAGGTCCCACTGTCCGTCTGACGGGGTCATTGTCGGTCTGTCTCCAGGTGAACCCCTTCAAGGGAAAAGGCCCATCAGGAAACCGCCTGGAGTCCCCAAGTTCGAACGCCTAAATGCAAACAACAGTCGGGGGATGTCCTGGCGAAAGCTGACAACTTCTGAATGGTTAAAGAAAAGCCACAAGGAAGCCTCATGTTAGACGCAACCGTGCGCAGGTACCCCCTCATGTGGCCTAAGCTCGCCTTCTCGGCCAAAGCCATGGGCATCTACACAGGCAAAATCCTGCAGCGAGACAGCAGACATGTTGGTTTGCTCTTTGGATTGAAGTAAGTAAGCTTTAAGTTGCGCAACATGACTGTTTCCCCCAAGACTCCACCACCCCAATTGCTAGTGAAAGTGTAGGGGCACCGAAGGCTTGGCTTTGGCGTCTCAGAGCCAGGCCATGTGTTCCAGGTGGATGCAGGTTTACCTGGTGGTTTCCTCTACCCCAAGGGATCACAAAGTAGAATTGTTACATACATATATATATATATATTGTATATAGTTATACACATACAATCTCCGTGCAACCGCTCTGTTTTGGTGCCTTCGGTTTGGGAGACAATCCCAGACCTCAAGTGGTGCCTGTTTTCTCATTTTTTGGAGGTTCCTTTTTCACCAATCACCAGAAAGGGTGCCCTTTTCTTCCCAACTGGAGGTCTGAGGAATTGCTTGACAGGCGCAACCGTGTACGAAGTTGCTGGGGTGGTTGCTGCCGGCAACGCGATGTCACCGGCGGTGGCATCTGCAGCCCTGCTGACCAAACTGGCTCCTTGGCAAGTCGGAGATACCCTGCTCCGCTTGTTGACCCCAGGGAAGAAAGTCAACTGAGTTTGACTCTATCTTGAAGTGATCCAAAGGTGGAACCCTCGAACTTCACAGAACCTCACGGGGGCGGATCTTGGAAGACCATGTTCCCTCAAAAGGGACTCTGTGGGAGGTAGTTTTAGGTCGCCAGTTGCCTTGGTACAGAGAAAATCCTTTTCGATCGAGTATATAGTCAGGGTTTGATGGGAATTCCAGCACAGAAAGGGTTGCCTTCCACAATGAGCACGCGGCATTTTGGGCAAAGCGACCTTCTGTGGATTTCTGTATCAGTCCTTCACGTGAATCAATCTGGGGTCGACATTGTTGTTGAAGCTGCGGCATGCGTGCCAGTCAGACTGTTCTGGATGCCATTGTTTGTGGCATCGGGCAAAACATGGCAAACGGGGGTGTCCACAAATATATATATATATATGTACACATAGGGGCCTTTCCCCTGTAAAAGGCATACCCCAAAACGGGTGTTTCCCTTTAACTCTTCTTTAAACCCGCGGTACCCTCAACACAGACGCGCCGGTACTGATCACGTGCTCGGCTGATTAGTACGGGTGCCAATGCCACGTGCGCTCAAGAGCACCGCCCGAGTTCTTGGGATGGGCAAAGTTTGCTTTGACAAGCAGGCCATGAAGCACTTAGAAGTGACACCCAAACAAGAGTTGTGAAGGAAGGTGTGTTGAACGAGGTGGCAAATGCCCAACCCTGATAGTTACTGTCCTGACACTCTTCATGCAACAGTACTGACTGTTCCCCAGTTTTGGTAGACCTTCATATTCCCGTCAAACTGGCCCCGTTTCAGATGCTGAGCCTCAGCACGGATTTCCTATTATTGCTTGCTCACGCGCCTAGATGCTTTAGGTTTGTAGGGATGCTCTGACTATAGCAAGCTTACCGAACGGCAGTAAAGCAAACGAGCGCTGGATTTGTTAGGAACTCCGGAATTCAGGTTGGTGAATCACACATTTGATTTTTCAGTGTAGATCCCCCTCCTTAAAATAGTGGATGTCCCAAGAGAGAGTGGGGCATTCTTGGGCTATCTGCCATGGCCAACGTTACCTTTTCGACCTTTGGCTTGTTGGTTTTCCTTCATTCCTCCTGAGGCATTATTTTGACTTGTTTTTCGGAGGGTTATCAGTTACCCGGCCATGTGCCCAAGGTGCGCGTCCTGCTCCTGGCGCCGTTCCTGCTGGTTTTGAGCAGGACTCGTTTTACTGGGCGTGGCTCAAGTTTTTGAGGCGTTGAGCGCGCTTTTCGGGGTGGCTTGGGAAACTAAAAGGGACGTCAGCATTCTTGTGGTCCAGATCCCAATTTGTGGCATGCCCAAATTCGTGCAGGACGTGCGCTCCGGCTTCATTTGGGGGGATTGTGGATGGACCAAATCGTCGCACCAGTTGGGGTGGATGAAAACGCCTGTGAATACTGGGATAAGCCAACTAGTGCGTCCACAGTGTTATGTTTAAAGCACGCAGAATCCGGAGTGGAGGAAGCGCTGAGTGCTGAATTGGCCTTTACGTTCATCACTACGCTGTTCAACACAGACACATGCACACACAACGGAGGTGCAGTCGGGCAACCAGAGCAGTAGCGATTGGTGAGGCAGGACACGACTTGCAGTAGCAGATCCTTTCGACGGGATCTCACATAATTGTTGAGCGGTTGGCATGTGCTGGTTGCGACAACATGAAGGTGCTTCAGCGCCTAGAAGGGCCTAAATAATTCGATTTGAGTTGTGGGGTACTTCAAACCAAATGTAGTCAGATGATGGGAGTGGACCGATAGTAATTATGTTGCCTCCTAAATTCGGGATTGGACCCCGAACCCCTTCAATCTGTGAATCCATGTGGTGTCACTAACAAGAAAAGGGTTCACAACTGCTTCCTCGTCTTGAACAAGAAAAACAGGGTTTAGCTTGTTCGAGACACCCCCCCCCCCCCGGACCCAGCTTCGTGCCAAATGCCCACCGAGGATGTCGAAAGGCACGTCTTCGAAGGTTCAAACCCCCTGGTTCGCCTACGCCTTCTTCGGCGTTTGCGCGCCCTGGCCGCAAGAAGAGCTGTGGGAGTGGCGTCAAAGGGACCTTCCAAGAAGCAGGAAGGATTGCACAAGTTTACTGGGCCAGAATCTCAGGGTGTCATTGGTGTGAGCATGGACCAGCATATCTCAGAGCTGAGCCAGACCTGGGGTTTATCGCACCCATCAAGGATCTCGGGGGGTTCCTTAACTCATTTCAAGTTATCCCTCGCATCCCAACTTTACTCACCCCCTGTTCCCCGTATCCCCGCCAATTGGTTTTCTCAAAGGTTTTGAGAGCCCCAGAAAATCCGTAAGAGTTGACTCCTGTCTCGAACATCACATATGTGCCTTGGTCAAACCGCCATTTGCTTCTGGTTGGTAGGGCTGGTCATGGATCCCTTGATGGATTTGGACAACCATTGTGCCTACCGCATCGCGCACGGTCCCGAGGTCTTGTCTTCCTGGTTGCCGGTGCCGGCATGGCTGGTTGCCAAAGCGAGCGCCATCAGTACTTGGTGCACAGCAATGGCCATGGCGTCTCCGCTGAGATGCGGGTGTTTGGACTTTGGACTTCCTTTAAGTCAATGAGCGGTGAACCTGAGGTATTTTCAGCCACGCAGACCAGGATCACGCATGTCTTTACACCAGTGGTTATAGTCGGTACATCTCTTTCTTCCCCTCGAACACATCAGCCCCCTCAGCGCCTCGCCGCTTCGGCATTCAGGTAGGCCTTGGCCTCGAGAGCGACGTAAACAGCATCCGGAACATGGGATGGCGGCCAATGCTGCTTGCCAGCCTGCTCTTTGCATACTTGGCCTCTCGCCAGAAATTTCCTTCCCTCGCGCCAAAGGGCCAGGCTGAACGTCGCGAGGTTGAAGGACCCAGCCAAACGCATTGAGCGTACCTCAGCACCTCGCAGTGAGAACACACATATACATCATACATACACATCACTTTCAATCAGCTTATGGCTTTGGATTTTACCTTGGCATTGTGAAATCACATTGCAGACATACAACACACACGGAGACGCTGCAGTTCGGCCTATCATACATGAATCCCGTCCCTCTAAACACAAAGCCTCCCACGTACCCAGAAACATAAGAAGTTGTTGTAAGCAAGTCAGCAGCTGTTGGTCAGTTGACAATAGATGTCCATGTCTGTGAAAGGTCGGTCACCATCAGCAAAACAGTGGCACCGGTTCCTTTATAAGCGGGGAGTTGCAACAAACTCGGCTGGGTGGTTTACAGTTTTGCTTATTGGGAAGGATGGACCGGAGACTGGGCAGTCCATGGATTGGGATCCGGGAGCTACAGCTGAAAAAGCTTAGTGCACGGGATATGTATCGGAGTGGAATAGGGCAAGAGCTCCCAAAAGCGAAGGCGAGTCTTTAAACGAAAGATCCTCATTGTATAGTTAGCAGCTTTTGCAGGGCGCGAGCAGGTCTTGAAACAAAGGCAAGGCGAAGCGTAAGCAAAACCCCTTTTCACGACGACTGGCTTTTGTGATTATTGGCGGCTCTTTTGAGTGACGATAACTGGGAAGACGACCGGAAGATTGCGGGAAGATTGCGGGAAGACTCCGGCAAGAGACCAAACATACACATGATCAAACACTATCAGAACGAAGGCGAGTCTTTCAAACGAAGGATTCAGAGATATTTCAGCTTGGCACATAGGGTTTGGCGGTGGCTCATGTTTTCATTAGTGGGGAAACTTTGGTGCTTGGGAAGAAGGGAGTATGACATAGGCGACATGAAGTTCACATGGCACAGAGACGGTGAGTGAAGCCATCGTACCCCAATCGCTTGAGCTGACCGCTGCAGACACCACTGCCATGGCTTCTCCACAGGGTGAGGTAGATCGGTCTGTTCAAAGGCTTTCCACCAAACCACTGATGGACAAAATCCACTTTGGGTGGACTAAGGTTCATCCTTCCCAAGCGTTGCAAAGTTGATTTCGTCCATCCACAGTATCATCAGCAACTCATCGAAGCCACAGGTGGTAGGCGGCTTTGCGGCGGTCGCTGGGATCCTGCGGTTCTTGCCGGCGTGAGATTCGTGGAAAAGAGGTGTGCGGATATCAACAGCCTCAGCTAAGGTGTTGATTTCTTTCCATTCTTGTGACTGTTGTTCCTTTCAGAAGCCTACTGCTTCCCTTGGTTTTTGCTGATTCTCTGGGAAGAATAATCCTCTGAATGAAAAGGCAAGTTCCCCTTGGAAGCTACTGGTCTCTTGCTTGCAGGACTAAAGTCCAAAGTCAAAGGACACGATACCAGCCTGTCAAAGAGAGAACACATCGCAGGAACGTGTACGTCATTGTTCTTGTCTTTAGACCTCAAGGAGCTGGACGTGTTTGTGCTGACTCAAGCAGTTTGCTCAAAGCGTTCGCACATTTGGTTCCGCTTTTTTTTTGGTGTGTGCCGGAGTTTCTGCCGCTCCCCGCGTTCTCAGCCAACGTTACGCCACAGGCCGAGACAGAATCATGGGGCCAAGCTCATGTAGCAGCCTGTTTTTCTTTTGGTTGGCACCATGGGCGTCCAGAAGTCCAAATTCGGGAAGCAAGCTCGAGAAGAGAGCAATTGGATGAAGCTGGATAGCGCCCCTTCTTTGCTGATCGCCAAGCGTGCCTTTGGAAAGAATGGATGACAAGCAGAAGGACCACCTTGATGGGATTGGGGAAGAGATCTTGATGTGAATTTGTTTGCCCCTTGTTGGAGGCTGAATGAAAATTAGGGGATCTTCCACCTAATTTCGTGGCGTGGCGGCCGTATCTAAACATGTCTCTGTCTTGGGCCTTGATATATTGCTGGTCCATCTTTTGTGCCTTTGAGATCATCTATCCTGATCGGGCTTTCGAGCCTTTGTTTGCATATCATGCTGATTTCCCTTGAGATCATGCTCCTCCTTTTGTTGCATATCGAATTTGGCTCGCAAGTGTTGCATCCGTGCTCATCATGGATCCAAAGGAGGAGTGCTGGAGGGGCTGAAAGACCAAGGCAACTCAAAATGGGAGACAGGGTTCAGATTTGTTGAGTAGGTTGCCCCGAGGTAGAAGCCAGGGGTGTTTGATTTGCTTACAAGGGGGGGAATTCCTGGATTTAAGCCACCCTGGCGCCGGGGGCGGGGGTGGAGCCCTCGGATATGTCGGATGTTTCATACCGTTCCAGTCCCCCTGCATGAGCGCTGCTTTAGGTTGTCACAGTCTATGATACCAAGGGAATCCTTTTTAATTCTCGTAGAAATATAGAGTCCATAGATTTGTCCATGTCATGATACCCTCGCAGTGGAACCCACCAGAAGGCCCCTTTAAGAGGAACATTGTGTTCCGCCTCGGCCAAGATCACAACCTGGCAGGACGACGCCGACTTTGCGCACCTGACCTGGAGATGGGGTTGGATCCAGATCCGTCCAATTTGCCCAGGGAAACTCGGAACTTCCGCAGTCCATGCCTTGTCTCATTTGCAAAACTGACCTTGACACACCTGTTGGTGATTGTTGTTGTGTCGCCTTTTTTTTTTTCAGGAAAAGGATTAGGTCCCACAAGGCAAGCCTTCTATGTCCGAGTTCTGTAGGGGGCAAGTGTTTTGGTATAAGGGAAGCAAAAAGAAACCGTTGCCATTTTGGGAAATGGACCGATTCCTATTTTGAGAAAGACCTATGTGTGGCGGCCTGTTCTTTTGGTTTGCACTCGCTTTTGCCCTATCAACTTGCGGCCTCCGTTGGGTCAAAGGCGGCAATATGGGGTCATGATTTTTCTCCAAATGGAGCCTGCGTGGGTTGTGTCGTTTGGTTTCCATTAAAAAGCAACCCCAAAGAGTACACTCTCCCTAACATGGACATTTGACTGAAGTTAATGGCTCGGGGACTTTCTGGTGGGACGTAGGAACCAGGTGTGTCTTTTTGTAAAGTTGGGGGGTACTCAAGCGGTTTGTTGCCGTGGCACACGTTTTCCTGGGTTAGAACCACTTGCCTACCCTGCCCTAAGACAGTCCCAAGCCTCTCTCGCATGCTCAGGCCGCCTTCTCGTCGGCGATCCAGGCAACGAAGTCACCATGGTGAAAAAACCGAAAGGATGCCCTGAATATTGCAAAGGGGGGAATGATATTGCCAACCAAGCTACCACTATCTGTTGGCCAAATGTGCAAGGCAAGGCATGTGAAACTGTAAATAGGATCCAAGCCATTCTATTAAAACAAACAAACAACAAAACAGCTTGTGCTGATTTTAACTCAGCGTGCCACTTCAATAGTACAGCATAGCTGAATCAGAATATGTGTTGCTCAAAGCGAGATGTCCTCTGTTTCACTGCGCCCAAATTCTTGCGGGTGTCCGTGCCGTGCGCAGACCCTCCATGGGCTAAGTAGATCTTTTCCCGCTGGAAGTTGAGTCGGAATTCCGACGCTCCTTTCTGAGCAGCCCAGATCCCCGTGCTTCCCTTTCTGGTGGTTTTAAGCCTCACCTTTTGGGCCCAGTTCCGGTGGGGAAATACAGGGCACCCAACCGGGCCAGGGCCATGGCCCAAAGCGGGGTTCATTTGGCAGGCGAGATGGCAATGAGCTCCAGGACTCCGGCGGCTCGGAATATTTTTGAGTCGCTGAGCCAAGTTGCCTTCGGCGGGACCCCAGGCGTGCTGCTTTTAAGTTGGTCAATGGGATCGGATCTGGTGTGAATCCTATCTGGGTTGGTCTCAATCAGGGGGAACTCCGGAAAAATGGGAGAACTTTCGCTTTTCCGCACCATTGTTCCTTGAATCCCGGGCAAGGGCACCAACGCCAAAAAAGACACCCCCGCACATTGAAAGGAATTTCAGGGGGGAGATCAAACCATTTTTAGCGGCGTTTGGAAAAGTCAAGTATCTAGCATAGCTCTGACAGATATCTCGCGCGCAGTGTGAGCACCGAGGCTTAATGTCCGACAAGTCCTCCTTCAGAGGCCTGTGGGTCGGACGATTGCTTCTTTCCAAGCTACGGGCAGCTGATCAAAAGATTGATATACCAATAGTGTCACAATTGGCGGACACCCAACAAATGTTGGTTTTCCCGGTGGTTTGCAATGAAACCCACCTCGCAAAGTACCCTCGAAAAAGCACACACTTATGTAATGTTTTGTAAGTTTGGGTAGGACGAGGCCCTTTCAAGTTGTGGTTTTGGCTTGCACAGCCGAGCGCTTCCTGTGTTCGAATCTTGCTGACGCTCCTGTACCCAAAGCCAACTGATGGGCGAAGTGCTGCAAGGCTTCCTCGGGTTGCCAGGTGGTCTCTTCGGCTAACGAGTGGAGACATGAATCCCTCGCGAAGAGCCAGCAGAATCCTTGAGCAAACTCGACGAGCAATGGACCAGTATCAGGCCTCGGGTATTTCCTGTGGAATTTGTAAGCCCTAGGATTCGCTTTGAATCATCACGTATAGGTATCCCCCCTGCAAATTAGCTTGCAGGTGTGAAGCGATGCCTCGGACAAGATGTCAATGGAAGCTTCAAGACACCAGGAATGTGCACCCTCCAAGGCATTCCATGTTTGCACATTGCGCACCTTTAAAGTTTTGCTTTTAGTTTCCCTCTGACACTACCCGAAAAAGGGTACCCTGCAACCCCCCCTTAATCCCCCCTTCTTGGGTTGCCAACTTTGGACAATTGTTCAATTTGAGAATTCCCAGAGCCCCCCGACGCATTCGGCCCATTCGGTCGTCAAGGCGCATCAACTGCGGCTTCACATCCCGCTGACACGTTGGGAGCTCAGCACAAAGAGCGCCAAAGCAGGATTGGCTCAAATTTACAACTCAGGGAGGGATCCAGACGTTTTTGTTTATGTTTTGTTTCTGTAAACTGGCGGCTTTGGGGGTTGGGCCTCATTGTCTCTCCCTTGAGTCAGCAGAGCTTTCGTCTTTCGCCCCGCGCAGCTCATGCTGCTACGCCGGTGTTCGGGCCTGCGTAACACAAACTCGGACACCCAGAACAGTTGAACACGTCGACCCTTCGGTTTGGACCCGGCCTCGAAGCCGATGCGACTTTGCAGTTGGGGCGCACTGAGGTTCTCTGGCCTCAACTTATCCTTCGGCTTCACGTCGGGGACCCAACGGCTTCGATCCGGCTCTCGCCTTTGGACCCAATAGGAGGGTCCAGTTTGGTCTTCAGAAGCGGGTTTTCAAGCTGGGTCTCCTGGCGTGAGATCCTCAAAATGCCCCAATGTCCACAGTGAAAGCGATCAAATGGCTGTCAGTCAGAGAGGTTGTTGACAACAGCAGGTGTTTAGCAAATGGAATCAACATGACTGGCAGTTGGAATGCATGTTCTGCCCGAGAGTGGCGAAGTGGCGCATATGCCTTTGCGGCTGCGTTGGCCTGTTTAAACCCATTTTCTGTTTTGGGAACCCACCATGGCCGGAACTATTTAGAAATCTCTGGGAGCTATTTATGAATCTCTGGGAACTATTTATATATGGCTGGGAACTATTTATAACATGCACGGAACTATTTGAAACCACCCCCCCGGAACTATTTGGAGCCATTTGGAATTATTTGGAGGTGTCTTTGGAATCATTTGGAACTATTTAGAGCTAGTTCCACTCTCAGGCTGGTTTGGACAACAGCTGCTTGCAAGCTGTAGTTTGGATGGCGTGTTGTACGCGTGCAACTGCAGCACATGTTTGCGCTCAGGGAACAGCAGGTTCACACAAAACTAAAACAGGACAGGGCGACTAGGGCCGGATGTAAGAAAGGTCGTTCGATGTAAACATGGAGAACTGGCTCAACACCAGCGCCACGTCCAGTACCTTCACTACTCCCTGGCTAGCCAACACATGCCCGCGAGTACCACTGTCGCCACCGCCAGCCGCGCAGAAAACATTTTGAACCTCAATGACTGCTACCTTTCACTACCATCAACGCCCCACTGCGGACAACACCCCTGCAAAAAGCCTTCCACCGCAACTGTCACTGCCACACTGCACCAAGTTACCACCAACTTCAGCACCGCCGCTGTCATCATTGTTATCACTGCGCTTTGCGTCAATTACCTCGCTGACAGATCTGGCCTGTTAGCGCCTCCAGCTCCCAAAGGCCCAGCTCTATTGAGCTCAGGTGACATTGTATCCAGTGGGGTTGTACCCAAACCACAGGGACCAGTGCGGCGAAACTTACACACCGCGCAACCATGCGTGATGATACAAATGGCGAAACTCGTGACAAACATAACTAACACTGCCACTCAGCGCGCTGATGGACCTATGTAATGCCCAGCAACAGCCGCTTGCTTGGGCGAGAAGGCTCCAGTCGTTTTGCTGCGGAGGCCTGATCTACTTGCTCTGTGTGACATGCTTCGGGACTTCTGATGTACGGGTTAAAGGCCTTCCGTCGAAACTCATGATTGGTGGTTAAGTAAGGATCGTGAAGAAAAAGGAGGGAACGACTCCCTTGCTAAGCCTTTCTGTAACAATCACACAAGCAACTTCTGCACAAATCCTTGGAGTCTGAGTATGCATCATTCGTGCAACGCATCCACGACACTTGCTGGCGGTCATCTTCCCCTATTCTCTTGGCACGGCTAGCCTGCAGGCTGCAGGCCCCACAAGTTTCCTTCTCAAGACCATCTTAGCTAGAATAGGCTGGAAGTGATTCCGGCCCTGTTACTGAGGGCCTGGTCTTTCATGACTGCGCCGCGACTTTTCTTCAATTGCTTTGAAAAGCTAGCAACAAGCAAATGCTCACTCAGCGCAGTGTGGATGGATGTTGTGAGAGGCCCGCATAAGCGCCCAACCGCTGTTGAATACTTAGCCTGGATAAGCAGGGCCACCAAAATCACCACAACTCAAGGAGAAATGAATGTTGAGGACGATGCCTGGGAATTATATACTACTTGTATGACATGTTCACCCATTTTGCATTGTAGGTGCCAACCTACTCCTGTTTGCTGACTGCTCTTCCCCCTCCCTTTATTGCAATAAGTTACTGAAGTAAGCTCGCTGTCCGGCCAAGTCCTCTGTGCCGCAGAGTGCATCGCCTCACGCCTAGGTTCGTCTTAACTTTCGACGTTCCAGCAACAGCCATCATCCTCACTATCATCGCGTTGCCAAACGTTCCTGAGTCCTTCGCCAACAGCGCTAAGACTTTGGTTTTGGGACTCGCCTTACAAGCGCTGCGAGGGCATGGCTGTGGCTTTCATTGATCATCCGTGGGAGGGGGTGAGGGCGTGATGATTGCTCTTCCACCTGCGCCACGCAAAATATATACAGGTCTGGCCAGGACAAAAGGACTGGCCGACACAGCTGGAGAACTTGCCAAGGACTGGCAGCGCTGGCAGGACTAGCAGGAGGACTGCGCCGCCCATCAGCTGGCTCCGGCCATCACGTATCCAGACGGGGTTTTACGCGAGCCGTTTGTTTTCAAGCCCCCTTCTCAAAACAATGAAGAAACTATTTCTAAATGCTTGGAAGCCATTTATAAATGACTGGAAACTATTTATAAAAGGCTGGAAACTATTTATGAAAGGGTCTGAAAGGGGGCTAGGCTGGAAACACAGGCCTTGGCTCCCAGCCTACCCAGCTGGAGCCCAAGCGACTAACGCCACCCCTGCCCGAAAACGTGAACTAGTCAAGCGTGGAATGGGTCACGTTGGAAGGGATAATGCCCAAATGTAGCTGCCACCCGAGCAATGATCACCACGCCTTCGCCAACCCTGTTATTCGCAGAGTGCGCACACCCGGCTTAGCAATCCGTGTTGAAGCCTGGGAAAAAAAGGCCGCGCGGCGAAGAATCACATCACTGACGCAACGCCACCCCTAGCTGCTTCAATCATTCAAGCTCGAATCGTCTTAGAAGTTGAAAGGCCCGTGGCTCCGCGTTATCATGGACAGTTGGCCAAGGTGCCCAAGAAAACAGTTCCGTGACGAGCTGGCGTCGAAATAGAGAAGTAGCGTCGACGAGCGCGCCAAGCAGTCTTGAGATTATTGCCGAGACCTGCTGCGAGTGTTCAGAATGTCTCGCACTTATTATTCAACCTTTTCGGCTGGACAGTGACCGTTCGGAGCTGTCGTAAACCAGTTGCGGCCGTGCTTCAAACATAGTTCGTAACCGTTCGGAACCGTCGTGAACTATTTCATGGCCGTGCTTCAAACATAGTTCGTAACCGTTCGGAACCGTCGCGAACTGTTTCATGGCCATGCTTCAAATATAGTCCGTAACCGTTCGGAACCGTCGTGAACTATTAGTAGCCATGCGTTACAGACAGTTCGTAACCGTTTGGAACCGTCGTGAACTATTTGTGGCCATGCTTTACATATAGTTCGCAACCGTTCGAAACCGTTGCGAACTATTTGTGCGACCCAGCCCATATAGTTCCAAATAGTTCCAAATAGTTCCAAACAGTTCCAAACAGTTCCGGACACTTCTGGATGCATAAATAGTTCGCAACCGCTCCGAACCGTTACGAACTATTATCAAACCATTGAGCCCAAATAGTTCGTAACCGTTCTGAACCGTCGTGAACTATTTATAACGCGGAACCGTTGCGATCTTTGGAGGCTTGCTCAGAAAAAATGTTTACCGCTCTGAAGTTATCACAGGCTAGCGTGAGAGTCAATCAGTTGAAAGCGGGCCCAACCGATTCTTTCGATTTTAAGGATGCAGCACAAAGCTAAAACATAGTGTCGCAAAGCTATGCGTGGGCAGCCAACACGTTGGCTTGCAATAAGTTGATTATTGTATCTGGGCAGCTCCATGATGTGATTTGACCCCCCGTCTTCGCGGCGCAAGTGAACCCATTGAACACCTAGAACACACAGGCAAAGCACGTGGCGTGGGATGGTTTAAAGCTGGTATAACACGGCGGAGTTCGCGGAGACGTACCAAACCTCAACATAGCGTAGCTGCAGTACTCCAAAGACGCGCCAAACGGAATACAAGAGCACAACCTGTCGCGCGCTTTGCCGATGCCCTAAGGTGAGCCGGCAAGCAGCAAGCGCCAGATCATAGCATAAAACGCAACACATGTGACATATTTATGACCCGTGCCAAAATGTCCGAGGGACTGCTTGCGCAATGTCAATGCCTACATACCATGCGTGGAATCGTGCTCTTGACGCCGGTGGTCAACATTAAGTTGCGGTCACTGCCTGGTCACCTTATTTATTTGCGAAGCCCAAGGTTCTGAAGGGTAATCAGGTTTGAGCATCTGAGCGCAGGTGAAGCAATGGGACATAGTCACACTCACCAAGCCACATACTGTAATCTATCAACCGCCGAGCTTAGGCTGTTGGGTGGGTCAGCGGTTTTGCGCATAGTTTGTTGAGGTTTCATTGCTGCTGACTGCTGGTTGAAGCCCTGCTTAAGTAGTGTTGCAAACATTGCTTGCGTGTTTGCAAGCCGTTTCCAAGGTATAAGTAGCTTTCACATGCGCAAAAATCGCGTCTGCGTGTTTACAAGTAGCTTCTGCATGTTTATGAATAGCTTCTGCGTGTTTATAAGTATCTTCTGCAGGTCTATAAATAGTTTCCACACTTGGCCTGCTTGGAAACAGTAAACAGGCCAACGCAGGCGCCAACATATGCCTGACACCTCTAATCGACATCCGTAGGATCTTGTGCTTTGCACGGAAGCTAACAGCGGAACCCGCAACCCCTTTTTGCACGTTTCATGCGATTCGCTCTGTTGCGAATATGGGTTTTCTTTCTGCCCCCCAAACACAGGGTGTCCAACTGAAGCACCTTCACAGAAAGGGTTGTGGTTCCCTCGTCGGTCTGAAGTCTCGGAGCTCGAGCAACCTCTGAGGCCCATGCAGTTCGAAAAGCTCGACTTGCGAGGCACGTGGCTGCAGTGTCCCCATTTCCCAACACTTGGCGGCGGATTTCAGCTGGTCACCAGCTGACATCTTTGGAGACTCTGCCCAAACAAGCCCCGGCACGGTTTGCACCAGCTCCAAGAGAGGGGTCGGAAGGCGGGTACGACTGGCAAATGGAGAGGTGTGAAGTTTAGAGATCTGACTGGTTCATTGTTCATATGGGGGTGGACCGCAGGCAATCACAAGCCTGGACCCGGTCGAGAAGGCAGGGATTCTTTAGGAGTTACGTTTATTGGATCCCAACCCCCTTGACCCTGCGCCTGCTTTTTCCCTAAAAAGGGACTTCTTTGAGGGTCTTACTTGGGGGGAACTATGGGCGCTTGCTTGCGGGGAGGGGCTGCTAGGCCTGGGCGAGGGAGGGGTGGGGGGGGGGGGGGGTGCGAGTGTCCTAGACGCCAGGCAGGGGTGTGCGTTTGCCACGGTTCATTTGACCCAAGCTGGGGGTTGACAATCCTGACAGCCTAAGAAGGGTATCACTTGCCATGTGGGGCCTTTTACTCCCAGTTGGCTAAGCAGTATTTTCCGACTCATTCATCTCATCCACAGAAGTCGCGAGCCTTTCGTTCAGGCATGGGGTTGAGCTCCTTGGCTGCGCTTCATCGCTCTCGAGTCACGGGCTTTGGGCCAGAAACTCCTAGGGGGGTTCATGTCAAACCAGCGAGATTGGTTTCACCCCAAGATCGCAAGAACCCCAAACAACAATCATTTGTAGAGAAAACCCTTGTGCGAAATGGGCCCCACAATGGGGGTCCATGATCAGTTCCAGGATGCCTGTGTGAGGTGAGCACGCCATAGAGTCGCTGGTGCTATCCGTGCTGCCCTCAAGTGTGGCAGATGCGTGGCAACGAGCGCTTTGTTGCAGCCATGAGCCAAGTAGTCTTCGTGGGCATCGCGCGACAATTCAGAAGCATGTTGCCCTGGCAGATTTTGCTTGAAAGTAGGGAGTGCACCTGGCCGGCCGTGTGCTCTGTCCCGTCACCCTGTTCCCTGGCCAGGGTCATCCTGTTTGGACACCTTGCTAGAAAAAGCATAACCCCCCTTAAAAAACCAAGCTTCCTCCTGCCAAACTCGTTTTCATGGGCCAGCTGGCGCACCCTGCAGGTCGAGAACATCACACATCTCGACTTGCGCGGCAACCGTCTCACTGCGGCCTTTGGGTGGAAGCTCATCAAGGAGCGATCCCGAGAGTCCCCGAGGAACTCGTAACGGGAATATGGACCCGGCCCGAAGCTGACAAATCTGCCTATCAAAAGCCTGGGTCCTGGGATCCCTGGCACAATTTGGACATGGTGTTGTCAATTTGCCCCATAGAATCACCAGCTCCCACGAATTCGTGAACCCTGAAGGTCCGTCCGGTTTACCCCCCCGGCAAAACATCACAGAAGCCTGCGGGATGTGCCAAGGGAGGAAAAGCCCACGGAAACCCACCCAGCACGTGGCTTATGCGGCGGAGAGATGTCTTTGCCAGGCGATGAAAAAGAAGTACTTGAATCTCGAGTTCTGCAGCTGCCTGAGTGCAGCAAGGATTGACGTTCGCACTCATCAGCAATGAAGGGCATGCCATCGGGGGTAACATGGGGTGCGTCACGGTTATTGTTTGTCAGTTGGGAACACAATGGGTATCGGTACTAGAGTATTGACAGTGGAGCAAGCGAGTCGAAGAGATGCTCTAAGGCAATGGAATTCCTTTGAGGGCGCTTCGCATGAACACCATCGACAACTTGGACCTGCACCTTAGCTTGCAACAGGTTGCCAAAAGGCTTGATGACTGCTGGACGAAATGCACCAGTTGGGATAGACTCCCGGATCGACGGTAGACTTGGTGCGGTGCCGTTTGTCCCACAGGTCTGGGCCAAACTTCATGTCACACGAATCGATTGCCGGAGGTCTCCCTGTGCCAGTCATATCGGCATGCGGCGGCCTCAGAGATGGCCATGAATTGATACGGCAACAGCGAATCAGACTCTTCGGGCAGAAGCAGGGCAACATGGACTTTGCCGAAAAAATGCTTGGGGAGTTCTCCAGAGGTCTATTAAGGGAATGTCTGAATTGTTTGGTTTGTGAGCTTCTGGGGACACAAATTCATGCCAGGTTGATGTGGTCTCCTCGGGGATACCATTCAAAGATTGGCAAGTGTTACTCAACACTATGTTCGAAGGTTGCTAGGTATAAAGATTGCTGGGGTGTCTCAAGCTAAGATATTCGCATTTTGCGGCGCGGTTTCGCTTTGGGTTCCTGAACCAACCCCAAAAATGGGTTTGTTCTCCCTCCAAAAAAGAGAAGCCCCTTTCCCTTGAGGGGTGTTCACTGCATGTTTCGGAGCTACCCTGTGTTGGTGGCGTGTTTTACGGGCAGACCGCCCAAAGGCAGACCGCCCCCGCCGAAGCCGCCGAAGCGAGGCCCTGGGGAGAGGACTCGAAGGAGGCAGCCATGGAGTTCGCGAACCGGGGCATGTGCCCCGCTGAAACGAAGCTTTTGCCAAGGGAAGCGGCCCCAAGAGGCACTGTGAACATATGATATACGCACATATACATTATATGTATATATATATATGCACTATATATATATATATACATATGCTATGTATTCATACATACAATGTGCATCTTGTGGTTTCCTCATATGTAGTGCATAGCACGCAGTCGAGTTTCCTGGAATGCCCCGCTTCGCCAGCCGGCGGTGAAGGTCAAAGCCGTTAGGTACGGCATCGAGGTGGTGGGCGCGATTTTCCTAGCGCACTTTCTCCGCTTGAACACGTCTCTGACCAGGTTTAACTTCAGGCGGGTATCCGGTGTGGTGTTTGCTTGTGCGTGTGTGTGTGTGTGTGTGTGTGTGTGTGTGGTCCCCTATCAGTTCATTGTGGCAATATGGTCAGCTGCTAATGTACGAGTATGTACTCGTTTTCCCTCCTGGTGGTAGTTTGTAGTGGAAGCCATGTTAGAACATCCCGCTCAGCGCTTCTGTTTAGTTGCCGGTTTGTGCATTTGATCCCATGCCAGGCTGAACCATGTGGAGAAAGACGGCGCCAAGGCAAGGGCGGTAATATGTGCAATCTTTGCTGCGAAACCCGCTTCCTTTTACGGTACCAAGGGAAGATGTTTTTTACCTGCAATGGGTTGGGTATTATAAATATACATCATATGAATTGTTTGCTTTCAATTGGAACAACAAAACACAAAGCTATTCTCATTTAAACTCTAAAGGACAAATCCCTGGTTACCAACTGTGGGATGTTGGGATTCGTGCCGCACTGGCCACGAGGGTCTGATATGGAGCACAATGTTAGTTCTCCGGGGCCTTGAACACGGGTGACAAGTTGTGTGTGTGTGTGTGAGTGTGTGTGTGTGTGGGTGCGTGTGTGTGTGTGTGTGTGTGTGTGTGCGTGCGTGCGTGCGTGCGTGCGTGCGTGCGTGCGTGCGTGCGTGCGTGCGTGTGCGTGCTGGTGTGTGTGTGTGTGTGTGTGTGTGTGTGTGTGTGTGTGTGTGTGTGTGTGTGTGTGTGTGTGTGTGTGCTGGAGGGTACCCTTTTCAGGTTGGCTTACACCGAAACCCAAATGAAGCCACCAATTGGAGGGGTAACCCCCTGTTTTGACGAACCAAACCCCCTTGGTCCGTGGGGACTTGGCTCGAGGCATTGGCGCAGAGCTTGCTGGGCAACGCGCAGACAGTGCTGCGGACGGCTGCCCTGACTCGTTTGAACCGGGCTGTTTGAAGCGCTGTGCAGTGTGTGTTTAGGCACTTCCAACCCCTGGTCTTTGAAGGGAAGCCAAAAAAGGAGGTGGTTGAAGCAGTTGGTTGGCCCCGGAAAGGGTCCCATGTCGAGGAAAGTCGGATTGGCCGCCTTTGAACAGGCCAGCCAGGGTGCTCAGGGATGCAGACCTTGTGTACAGCGATTTAAGGGGATTCTTTTCAAGTTCGGGTCTCCAGATGGAAGTGTTCAGCGACCCTAGTCGTAGAGGTATGGTGTCTCCCCTCTTTGGAGCGCAGGATAGCGCAGGTCCTGAGTCTTTTGTTTGGTCGTTTGGTTGCAAGAGGGGTTCGACAGTTTCCGATACTCTGATACCCTAAACAAGCTCGGCAAAGTCGGGTGGGCTCATCAAATTGTCAAAGTCAGGCGTGCTTGACAACTGCCAATCATTTTGGCGTTTCTCGGAAGGGACCCCCTCCAACTGAATTGATTCTGTTTGGTTTCCCTCTCAAACCATCTGAAAGAGGTGCTTCGACCAGTTTTGAGACAGACCCGTTTTGTGGGCCCAGTGGCAATGAGGTGAACACTATGGGGCCGACAAAGATGAAGCCGGGGCCCAGGAAGCGCAAGGGACTCCGAAACATGGATTACGTTTGAGGCGTCATGTGTATGATTATTTTTTTCTTTTGGGGGGGACCCCCTCTTTACGAAACCCCAAAGAAAGCCACCCAGTTTGGACAAAGCCAAATGGGTTTGAAGGGAACTTTTGGTCGCATAGGTACGGAAATGCAACCGCAAGGTCCTTTGAAGGCGAGGGACTCAAGTTACGCGTGCAATTCGAACCACATTTCTAGTCGGCTCGCCCACGTCGATCTTGTCTGGGGGGGTTTTGTCGCAACCCCGGCCCGGAGTCTTTGACGTTCCCTGAATCTCGAACCCGATTGGGGGACCATGATGATATGGGCCTAAAATGTTGGTTTCCATGAAAAGTGCACCGGCGACCAAACGACACACGCATGTCCAGAACAAGTCTTCGCTTGACGTGGAGAGAGCCATCTCTGCCAACCGGATCACGCGGAGTCCATGAAAGCTCCCCAATCATAAATGTCACTGCATCATTTGGGTATGTGTCAAAATAGAGGGACCCCCAAAAACGGTGGTTTTGCTTGTGGTTTCGTTTGAAATCAACGTGGCATACATACCCTCAACGACATTCATTTTGGGGTGGAACATGATTGTCTAAGTAATGTATGGACAACATCGCAGCACGCCTAACATGACTATTTGAGAGCGCAACACACATCTGCGTTGAAACGAATCTGCTGAGCATTGGATCTATTCGGCTCAAATGTCAATTTGCGAGGTTCCCTTATTTCCGCTTTACAGACTCTCTTAGATCTAATGGTTGTCTACCTCTGGGGGTTGGCACCTAAGGGTCTCTCTTTTGGATTTCATGTTAGCTTGGGGGGGCATTTTCTGTGTTGTTTGGGGTTTCAGCCCGAGTTTTGCACCAAGGCCGGGAATCGACTTCGGCCACTTCAAGACTGGACAACTGTGCAGAACCAAGCAGAAAATTGCGGTTTTCGCATGAAACTTGTCGCTGTTGACAAAATAAATGGCCATGACTTTTGGTGGGGCATAATTTCTCAATATGGTTGGTGGACACAACTCCCCATGCGATTGTCCCTCAAAAGGTCCCCAACTAGCAAGCTTTGGTCCCATGTTTGATTGTAGCTAGTTTGCAACGGACACTCCCACAAGAAGGGAGGGCTTTTTGGTCTAATCTCAGCAAGCGTTTCTTGCCTTCCGCTTTATGGGGCCAATTGCAATCGATCCAAGCTTCTGATTTGCACAGGGGCACCAGCTGAACTTGCGGCTTCTTCAATATCACAGGGCTGTAACAATAGTATATGGGTGTGTCATTCTTGTGAGGGAACCCTTTGGGGGTGGTTTTGAAAGCAAACCAAAGGGAAACCGCCCTTGCGCTTTGTTTTTTGGGGGTTCCCTACTTTGAGACAAACCCATATACCTTACTCAGAACATCCTAAAGCGGGAATTTAGACAGCCAGGCTAAGGGCTGCTAAGGATTCCTGCCAAGGGCACGTTCCCGCGGTGTTCCGCTTTTCTTTTTTCAGGGTACGGTTGCCGTACTCGTGGCTCCTACCCAAGCGCTTAAAGCGCAGTTCCTGGTTCGTCCATAGCCTCAGGTTGGGTCAAATGGTCATTACTCGGTCTCTCCCCAGCCATACCCAGCCTAGAGCTGTCGTCGCTCGGCCAAGGACGACCGTTGACCTCTCCAAAAGAGGCATGGACGATGATGACTTTGTCTTCCTGGAGGAGCGCGACATTTCCCATGTGCCTATGGTGGGCAGCAACGGGCAGCCACCTGTTTTCAGTGCCTTGTTTGGGGCTTCCTTTTGAGCTCAAGAAACTTCCGACTTCATTTCCTTCATTCTCATGGCCAAGGCAAGTAAGACGGCGGGGGGGGGTCGGCTTCTTGTGTTTAGGAGGTCAGAATGGGATGGAAAGATAATTGCTCCTTTGACGGGCTAGGAAAAAGTATTGCCTGAAGTGTGCTATTGTATCATGGGAATGGCTTTCCATGGGCTGCGAGTGCAGAGCACGTGGTTGCATCTCGACTAGAACAAGTGGCAAAGCGGACGAAGTCGCTGGGTGGACCAGTTGGCCAGGTGTTGGCGAGTGGACTAACGTCCACTGTGCAGCAGACTGGACAACTAACTGAACAACTCGCTTTGCTGGCTTCAAGGGCTGGGCCGAGGAAGCCAGTGGCGAGCTGTTCAGTTCGCTGTCCAGTCCAACTGCTCCACTTGGTCCGTTTGCCCACTTGGTCCACTCAGTCTGCGCTTGGCCACTTGCACCAAGTGGCAGCCACTTGCCCACTTGGCCCAGAGTGGAAACCTCTTGCCACTTGCGCCTTGACCACGACTTCGACTTCATGGGCCCTTTTCTTCCTATGTCCAGCGCCAATGGAGCCTACACCTTGAGCCCTGCCTGTAAGGCGCTGGAATCGGCCCTCTTGGGATTTGGCCCTTGGACCATGGCATGTGGGAGCCGCGAGGAGTGGCTGCGTCGCTATGACTGTGCCCGGGCTCCGAGCAGTGAGCCACGGAAATTGGCAAACTGGCGCGCGGTCTGGGATTCTGTTTGGGAGTTTGCTTTTTTGTTTTTTTGGAAGGGACATCAAAAGGCAACCCACCATGGTTTGGTTCACCCTGTTCTGACACATATCCTTTTTGGGTTTTTTGCATGGTACGCCCCCAGTCCTGGCATGATGCTTTTGCTTTGGACACTCAGGCTGCCCCAAACCGCCACCGGCCTTCCCAGGTCACCGATCTCAACATCTCCTGGAACTTCATGTCCCGGGACGGTGTCCGCAAGCTTGCCCGCCACATCAAGGAGACCCAGAGCAGATAGGAATGTGTTTGTTTGGGGCTCGGTAGTCCTTTGTGTCTCAGGTTGGTTTAAAGGGAAGCAATAAGAGGACAGACACCCCCCCCCCCCGATCTCAACACATGATCGGGCGGCTGAATGGAGCTCACCCGGTCAAGAGGGCTCCGGTTCCCTTTCCCTTCCCTTTGGCTCCGGCTCTGGTTCCCTTTGGCTCCGGTTTTGACTTAGACCCTGGCCCTTGGGGCCTCCGTTTTCCCATATCCAGTCCAACACAATCTGGGCCACATGGGGCTTGTCGAAATGGCTCCAGAGCTTATCAGTACAGGACCAAAGAGCAAGCAACACCTCGAGATTGTGGTTTAAGCCACTCAGGTGGAAACAGCCAGTCATTTAAACAGATGAAAGCATGCCCACCCCTGGGTCTCCAACTCAAAGTTTTCCCCTTTGGGCTTTCCGGTGCAGGAGTCCAAGGTCCTCACAAAGCTCAACTGCCGGAGTCTAAGCGGTCCCTTCCTGGAGATTCCTTGTTGAAATTCCTGGTAGTTTTCGTTGTTGTAGTTTTTTGTTTTCTTTTGAACAACGCATACCAGGAGTTTCTAGCATTGAATCCCCAGGGGTCAAATCTGTGGTTGTGGTGATGAGTTTAGAGCCAGCTGTCCAATTCATTCCGCAGATGTCAGACAACCGTTGTTGATATTGCTTCTGGGAGCTCTTTCTGACAATAATGGAAGTGGACATTCTTTTGGCCTTGCAGGAGGACCATAAACCAAAAGAGCAGTTTGTCAGCCCTTAGGGGAGGGATGATGAGGGATGTTTGGATGTCTGCCGGCTGGAGGTGTTGGCCTGCCCGTCACCCTAGAGGTGCCACTGCGTTTAAAAAAATGCGGAAGGGCTCGGCGGCCGATAATGTTGGATTTCTGGGTGGTGCCAACAGCGGGTGTTCGTTTGTTTTCTTGTTGGAGGGGGGGAGAGAAGATTTCCTGGTTTCATTTAAATGAAACATGAGTGCACCCTTCTTTGAGGGTTAAGGGTTTGGAACCGTTTTTTGTTGTTCTTACTCGACCCTGCCGGGGCATAACCCCGTCACATGGTTGGTTGGCTGGTTGGTCAGTTGGTTGGGCGGCTGCATCCCAAGACCACACCCTAAAGTAACCCTAAAGCCACTGCACAGACGTGCCGCACACCTCGCACAAAATCAGCCCCAAACCGACCCAAAGTCAACCTAAAACCCATCCAACAGCATTCTTGATATCAGCCCTTTGCCGAGTCTAAATGAGCCTCAAACAAACCCAAGACCTGCCCTCATTAAGATCTCAGCAAGCTCGAGGACTCAATAGGCATCCCTAGGTCCAAGCGAGACCGGTGATGCTGGGGATGCGGCCAACCAACCCCGACCCCAGCCTGGCCAACCAGGCCGAACCTGTTTAGAGGCACATCACGGGAGCCCTGGTGCTAAGCCAGGGTTCGTTAACAAACAAGCACCTGAAATAGGGATTTTAGCCGGAAGAAGCATCAAGAAGCAACAGCGGCGTAACAGCGGTGTGGATGGTTGGTCTTGCAACCTTGTGGTTTGGTGATTCACCTCCTGTTTTGAAGGTTGGACTTGCCCGAAGGGTTACCTCACAGCAATCCGAACTATCAATCTACACCCCAGCAAATTAACTTGGAAACCTGAAAGAGGGCATTGAAAGGTGATTCCTATCATACAAGGACGCATATATATATATATATACATAGTATACATAGTATACATTGTATGTATGTGTACCCATCAGCTACCTGTGAACCTGAGCTTCGGCACTAACAGTGAGTGACGTGTCTGATATGTTTCCTCGTTTCAGATCCTGGAGGCTTGTAGTCAAACTCTGAGTCAGCTCATTCAGGGTTAATCCAGAGGGGTTTGGGGGAATGAACCGTTTGGGACCTCAGAGGAAACGAGGGAGGGATGATTGGGTCATTCCCAGAGTCATTCCCTGCCTCTCGACGGGTCGCTGGATCGAACGACGGAAGGGCTCCGGTCTCATCGCGCGCTCCGTGGTGGAGAACCACACCCTTCGGCAAGTGGGGCCCAGACCTGAGTCGCCCCAAAAACTCGGAGCTGGGCTGGTTCAAGTGACGCAAGGAAACTGAATATGATTTGTTTGGGTGAATAGTCTCAAAATCGGTTTGTGGACAGGAATCTCCATGATGATGTCCACCAAGTTCCCAAATAGAATTCATACCCGTTTAAGCCTCCCTTTTACTTTTGAGGTGCCCCCTTTCAACCACGGTCCCACCATGCCCCGACAACCATGGGGATGTTGGGCACAATTTGAAAGGGCTCATCTCTCCATTGGCTTTGCTGACCTTTTTGCCCTTTTGCCCTTTCAGTTTCCTTCGTTTGTTCTTTCAACTGGCCAGAGCTAATACGTCTCCAAGTGCCAGCACTTGCATTGCCTCTTGTACATGTGAATATTGAATAGCTTAAACATCCAACAAGTTAGCTTTTTGCGGGTGTCTAAGTCTGCCCCCTCCCCCCCCCGGTTTTTACAACCGTTGCAGATGCAGCGGTTGGGTTTCTGATTCAGGCTGCCGTTGGGGCATTGCCACGACACCCCGGAGCGCCAGCAGGCAGAGACTGAGAGAAGCTGTAAACATCCAAGGTGTTTCTGATGTCTGGGAAACATCTCCATGCAATAAATGCCGAAAAGGGCTTTCCATTGAAACTTCAGACCCAAATCAGATGGAACAAGAGGGCTCTTCAATTTAGGACAGATTCCCTTCTACCAGCCCTCCTAACAGCGTTTGCCTGGGGAAAAGAGCGAGCGTGGGAGGCTTTGGGTGGTAAGAATCTTTCTCAGAGAATTGCAGCGACATCAAATGGGCTTGAAAGCTTCTACTCGCACGGAACTGTCTCACAAGACATTGTCAAATCCAAGCGATCATGCTGTA